TACACACATGCATACACATACATAGACATACATACATACATACATACACATACATACATACATACATACATGCATACACATACATAGACATAAATACATACAGACACATAGACATACATACATACATACATACATACATACATAGACATACATACATACATACATGCATACACATACATAGACATACATGCATACACATGCATACACATACATAGACATACATACACATGCATACACATACATAGACATACATACATACATACATGCATACACATACATAGACATACATACACACACATGCATACACATACATAGACATAAATACATACACACACATGCAAAGACATACATAGACATACATACATACACACATGCATGCACATACATAGACATACATACATACACAAATGCATACACATACGTAGACATACATGCATACATGCATACATACATACATACATACACACATGCATGCACTACGTGCATAGACATACACACATACACACATACACACATGCATACACATACATAGGCATACATACATACACACATGCAAAGACATACATAGACATACATACATACACACATGCATACACATACATAGACATACATACATACACACATGCATACACATACATAAACATACATGTATGTATGTTATATATTATGTATACCCTGATATTAAGGCCAAGGAGACGCCGGCGTATTTGTTACATGTGCAGCGAGCACAGAGCCGTGCGGAGCGCAAAGCGATGCTGGAGGAGGAACGGAGAATCTCGGCGTCTCGAAAATGAATGGGATTGTACTAGAGCTACGAAGCAACAGTGGACTATATACTAATGTATATCCAGTTATGGGTATAATTCATATAACAAACATGGGTATAGCCTAATATTGTTATGGATTGATAATCCACTTCAATGATGGGAATATCGAAACAACAGCGGACTATAATACACGGGTCATGCCACCTGAAGACATCACAAGGTTTTGCTCCGAATTGGGACGGGAATGCGAGACGGAACATCACATTGATAAAACGACATTTGATTGTACGGTGACAATTATATATGGGACATTCTCGGACGTTGTAGTTTCAGTAACCAATGCTTCAAACTGTGGATGATTTGGCGGCTATACACGGTGTACACATCCCAATGTTTGTTAATAGCTCACACATGCACCCTGTAGCAACATGACGAGCGTTGCTAATATTATTCAGTTTATATAAATTCTTGGCAAAAGATGTTGCAGACAGAATAGTCGCAACAAATCCCCACATGTTGAATGGTGATGTCATGTTTCAAGCTTGTTTGTCCAAAAACAGCCCGAAAATTCACTGGTTTTTACCAGCGCCTCGTGCTTTTCTCGCTCCTTTTCTCGCTCCGAGAAAAGCGAAGTCAAGGGAAAGGCGACAGCAAAGGCTGCTTGGCGATAAAAAAATAGACCAATTTTCCATCCTTAAAGGTGGGAGGATTTTTGTGATGTTCTAATGTTCCACAAGGGAAGATGATGAATATCATCATCATCATCATCATCATCATCATCATCATCATCATCATCATCATCATCATCATCGCCAGCAGCAGCAGCAGTAGCAGCAGCAGTAGCCGTAGTAGCACTACTAGCCGTAGTAGCACTAGTAGCAGTAGCAGTAGCACAAGCAGCAACAGCAGCAGCAGCAGGAGGAGGAGGAGGAGTAGTAGTAGGAGTAGTAGTAGTCGTAGTAGCAGCAGTAGTAGCAGCAGTAGCAGCAGTAGCAGTAGTAGTAGTGTAGGAGAAGAAGTAGGAATAGCAGTAGTCTGATAGTAGATGCTAGTAGTATATTGTGTTGATGGGTTGATGATGATGTTGATGACGAAGACAAAGACGATGACGCAGACTCTTGTTCCACATGGGCATGCTTGTCGTGACAATTCCGCTTTTCTCGCCGGCAGCATTTCTTGAGGCAAGGCGGGTATACGGATATGACTCTCGGCTGTTCATAGCGACGCATTTATGGCTGTTAAAAACCGCTGATGTATGGCTGATGAACCATTTAGTGTGGGATGTACTCGTGGGGAAACCATCAGTCAAGGTCTGTCCCTTTGATGGACCATACTGGGGTGAGCTAATCTCCGTTTTGCTTTCTCTGTATGATTTTTTTGCCAACCTTAGATTGATGAAGCCCTAGGTCAACCCCAAAAATGTGATCATTGACTTGAAAAAAAACACGGGTTTCCGGGGTCTCCCTTTTTCGGCAGCCAATGGGGTTCTCACGGCCAATGTGTTGACTTTTCTGTAATGGCTTGATGGCCGTGGAAAATCCTCCAAACAACCGCGATGGAACCACGCTTTGAAAATCCTACAAACAACCGCGTCCGGACGTTTTTTCAGGCATCCGGAACTTGTCAGAGGAGGTGACGGCGGACAAGCTCCGGGAGTGCCTTGGCGAACGCATTGGAAACTGGTGATCGAACCATTGGAAATTCATGGGGGATTTCGCGGGATTGATAGCTTGATAGCCATTGGTTGGTGAAGATAACTTCAATTTCACTAATAACTGATAACTATAAACTAGCAAAAAAAACTATTACTAGTAACATTAACTATTTCACTAGTAACTATTACTATCTATGATAATTTTAACTATAGTAAACCAGTTTATATCTGCGCGGCCCCACTTTGTAGATATATGCCTGGAGTTGCTGAGTCGATGTCTGGATCCGCAATGCTAGATGGTTAATGGAAAACCCCAGTCTAAAGTGGATGATTCAGAGGTACCCCCATTTCAAACCTTCATATTCCAAATTTGAGTCCTTTATATCCTTTATCCTTGGGATACAATCTGTTTTTTTCATTTCAAACAACTGATTCTCATGACAGTTCCCTAGCGTGTTACCCCGGTATTGCCGAAATACGATGGCAACAGAATTGGTTGGCAACACTCAAACAGTCTTTTCTCCGCATTCAATTGGAACCACATATATATATATATATAATATACATAATTATAAGGAGCTTGCAGGATTTTTAGTGTTTTCATGCCATGGTGGTTTCGTTTTGCTGCTGCTTCTTGGCCACCTTTTTTCTCGCGTTCTTGCCGCTGTCGGGCGGATGCTCTGCTGGAATTGCTGGATCAAAATTTGATTGAAATATCAAAATTTCTAGTCCACATCTTCAATCTCATCAAGATTTCCCGAGCTATTGCAGTCAGGATCATGGACAAACCCGGCCTCTTTGGCCTGCTTCTCGGAAAAATAGTAGCTCTTGTCGGAGTTACGCACAAATTTTGGATAAATACGCCCTTTGGGCGTCTTGATCTGATAAACCTTCCAGCCGCTCTTGTGAGTGATCATCTCAACCACATTTGCTTTCTTCCCGGGGTGCTTAACAGGCGCTGCTTTTGCAGCTGGTCTCTTGAAAACTGCATTCGTCAAGGCAGGCTCTGCGCTCACTTCAGGTTCTGCATTCTCTTCAGGTTTGGAGCTGGAAGGCGCAGGTTCGACCTCATCCTTTTTCTCAAAAGCCGGCTTCCTCTGAGGGTACTTTTGCTTCTTGGTAACCTTCGGTTGCGGGGCAGCTGCTGGGCGCTTCATCAAGGTGCTCTTGCCCTTGGTCTCTTCAGTCTCGCCTGCGCCTGCAAATCGTTCTCATGTCTGCCCCAAAGAAGGATGCATTCCAAACATGGTCATGGTCGGGTATATGTGGGAAAAACTTAAAAAGAAACTATAGGGTCTTTGTGGGGAGAAATGTATCTATAGGAGTCATGGCACCTGGTTTCTTCTGCGGTGTTTTCTTTTCTGTGGTCTCGGGTGTTTTGTCTTCTCGGGTCATCATCTTGCCTTTTGCCACTCCCCCCTTCCCATGTCCACGTCCACGTCCTTTTCCCTTTCTTCCCTTTCCACGTCCACGGCCACGTGTGGCCGGCTGGTCTGGAGTCTCTGGTGGTGGGCTCTCTTCCAACACCGGTCCCACTGGGCTAGGCTTCGGCTCCTCCGTACTGGTAGGTGGGGAAGCAAAGGTTCTAGAGTCAGCACGGGCAAGGCGCGAAGGCGGGCTGGCAGTTGCGCTCGCCGAAGTGGCTAGATTTGCCAAGATCCTGGCCTGAATGTTGACTTCCGCCATGGCAAAACAAGAGCAGCAGCTAGACCCCTAGAAGATGAAAATTGAAATCCTAAGCCAATGTCAGCGTAATCTCTGCGTAAAAAACACTTTGTATCTGGATTGCACGGTTGAATTTCGAGGCGGAATCGATTGAAAGGAATGTTTAGCAAGCCAGGGGCTTAACACGTATCATATTGCTTTTAAGAAAGCGGCTAAAAATTCACAATCATTGATCATTAATCTGCTGAGCAACACGAACCAACTTCTTTTCATGTGATGTTTCTTTTGATGGCTCATGCAAAATGAAAGCTGTCCAAAAATGCCTATCCTAAAAGCACAGCTCCCTAGCCATACGAGACTACACTGTTGGTAGCTCTCTAGGACGTTCAGATCAAACTGGCTCACTTTCTTCCTTCTCTTTGATCAGCCAAGTGATGGATAGTTCTAAGCGTTGGAAGATGTAACGCACCGCCCGCAAGTTGGCTCGTATGTAGTCCGCGTTGGGGTGCACATCTGCCAGCAAAGTGTCAAGGTTCGTGGTAGATTTCAAAACGATATCCTTGCAGTATGCCAACTTAGCCCAGCACATGCTTCTCAAGTCATCCTCAAAGTTGCAATTGGGATTTGGAGCATAGTAAGCAGTAGGGATAATATCTTCCCAGCGCATCCAACAGCTGAGTTCGGTGATTTGGTCCTCTCCATCCATTGTAGCCTTAAAGGACATGCAAGCCAGGACGGTCAGGAACTGAATGGTTTCTACCATCGGTGTCATGTTGTGAGGTTCTCCACGGTAGAGAGGTAAAAACTGCATTAAGGTCTCACGAATGACCTCGTAGTCGAACTCGTGAAAGGTGTTCAGCGCACCCAAACCATGGAGAACGCATAGGCCCAACCATACGACCTTCACATCCTCATACTTCATGACCATGGCTATTCACGAAGAGTGGGTACTGGCTGTGCTTTGTTTGATCCCCTACAGCAAGCCAGAAAAAGTTGAAAGCTTTGTCATACTGTTTGTCCGGTCATGCTGCGCTTTGATTTAGCAGGACGAAGTGTGACTCACACCCTTGACCAACACATTGCTATTTGCAGGAGGCAGTTTCAATCTAAAGTATGCAAGGCTCGCCTGTTGTGATCTTTTACCGCTCGAACACCACCCTCTATGGTATGTCAGCTTGGGATGCCTAGTATGCAGACCAAACAGGGCCTCACTCAGATGTTTCCACTCTCACCCCCGGCGCACCGCAAGGCAAAGCATGAAGAAATTCTTTGAATGAGGCTTGGAAACAACATCTAAGTGCCACAAATTTCAAAATCAGATGCCACAACTAACTTTGCGCCAATCTGTGAGAGACACAGCAAAGCCCCTGATTGTACACAAAAGTTGCCACGCAGGATGACTGACCTGCTCTCTTCCAATCCGTGGGCTGCAATCTGCGTTGACCAAACGATTGAAAACAGCTGTCTAGCTCAAAGAACACTGAAAAAAGTTTGAGCTACTGTTACTCCGAGTGTTATTTTCTCGACAACTGGTTGACAAAATGCCCATCGTTCACAGCAGCTGCAGCCCCGTGGATTCAAAAACCTACGCGGATTGTGTTCACCTTGTCATTCTAAGCCAGAAACCATTCAATCAGCAGCGCTACTAGTCAAGTACAAATTCAATGCTTTTCTTTCAGGTGATTTTGGTGAACATAGGTTTGGTGTCCAAAACTACTGTGCCGCGGTGCCGTTGCAAACTTTCAGAGGACAATCCTTTTTCAAAGAAATGCCCCTTTTTGAGACGACATACGGTCGCTGAACCTTGAAACGTTGACCGATCTTTTCAAATCGGTACCGGAAAACATGCATCAAATGTTGGCTTCCTCCGATGGCATCCATTGTCTTGGCAAAGAAGTTCTTCATGCTCACCCGTTCACTTGCTCCCTCAGCACTTCGCGGGTCTTTCATGCACCGGAATTTCATCTGGTTTTTGATCTTGATGTCAAAGCCATCAGATCCTGCCTCCACTGCCCCGTCCTGCTTGCGCTCAATGGTCAAGAAGCTCACGCGGTGCTGCGTAATGCCTTTCTCACGCTCTGCTCGCACCAACATCTTGAAAAGCGACAAGGTCGAAAAACCTTGCTGCTCAGATGCGAAGCTTGCCTCGTCCAATTGGACAAGTGTGCGATCGCCCTCCTTCAAGGCGAAGGAGATCCCAGGGCCAGGATCCGACTCTGGAATCCATTGTCCTGTGCCCACTCCTCCAAGAAGTTGGTGCTTGGGAAGCGTCTTGTCCTGGTTGGAGAGCAGCCATATCGAGCCATCTCGACATAAGACCAGCTGCACGCTGCTGATCTCGCTGACAGTTTTGACCTCGACACCCAGAGTTTCTTCCAATTTCCCCAAAGACTCCATGGTCACCTCCTCAGGCGTGGTCTGTGTGGTGCCTTGGTCTGCAGTCTCTGCTGTTGCCGGTGCTGGTGCTGAGGTGTCTGTGGTTGATAAACCCATCTGCATGATCAGCTGGGCATGGTTGTCACGCAATTTGGCGTAGGTGTCACCAATCTCGCCAGTTTGGGCTGCCCAGTACTTGTGCTCGTCGCTCCTGATTGTCATCTTGTCAACTCTCTCCAATGTTTCAAATTTGATTTCATCCAGCTTTCCCAGCGATGCTTTGGCACCAGGGATGGATTCGATCTCCTGGTTCGAGAGCTCTGGGGGTTCCATTGTGAATTCTTGGCCTGCATGCTTGAACTTTTTCTGGCACCAGGCATCCGTAACTTCTCGGGTCAGCCGAGCTTGGCCGAAGGTGTCCTTGTTCAACCAAGTCACGGATAGGTAGAACAGGTTCTTGGTGTTGAAGCCACCCTTGAACTCCTTTTCCTCAAGACGCAAGTTGAAAACCTTAGATCCGTGTCAATTTCGGCATTTTGCTCAAATGGAAATAGGAAACTGACACAGGATGAGTCACCCATGCAGACATTCAAGTGAGTTGCAAAATGGTAAATATCAGCCGCCAATCCAGTGGGTTTTGGAAGCGTTGGAAAACACAACATATGTTGGCAAAATGTTTCGAAATTAGCGTGGTGCCTTGTCCCAGTAGAAACTAATTTTGCAGCCTCTATATAGCCTTTACTTGTGACAATGATCTAGTTGCATGAATGCAGGACATCTCATCAGAATTGTTTAGTACATAGTGTTCCAAAGATTGAGAGATCCCATTTTTGAAAGCTACAAGGTGTTGCCCCCGATGTTTTTCTCGTACCTGCTGAATTTGCTCACGGAAGGAAGGGTGCTGTTCTTTAAAAAGTTCTTTTTTCTTACTCAGCAGTAGGAAATGTCATCCGTCTTTGGCAGCTTCTTTAAAAAGGAATGCTTTTATCCATCCAACACATTGATTTCTGGTCTGTGGGCTCTTCCATTTGGGAATGTTTCGAACTAGGGGCGTTTGAAACTACCATTTCATGCCAGAAAACCACCAGTCTTGGGCGCCCCATGGAACCTCCCATGTTGAAACATATTTCAAAAATGTCTGTACTTCGTGCGATCACCACCCTGCGAGAACATGTTGATGTACAGCCTGACATATCATCATTCTGGCATATCATTCTGACAATGCTTCCAAACACTGCTTAGATTATGACGGGCAGTTTGGCACAGTTTTCTGACATAAATCCAGACATGTCTTCTGTGGTATGTGTTATGGAATTAAATACGCGGTATATATTATGACATAGTATGACATAGTTTTGGCATACGATGCCGAAATCTGTCCGGAAGTCTTTTGTAGCACAGTTGTTTATAATTGTGGCAAGCGCTTCAATTAGAATTTGGCATCTCTTTTGACATGTATCCTGGCATGTGTTCTGGCATGTTTTCTGACATGCTTGCTGACATCTCTAAAGGCTTGTATCCTGACCATATATATAATATATATTGTTCATTATTCTGGCAAGACACGAGGCTCACAATACATCTAGAGACCCTGACCCCGCAGATGGGGAAAAACTGTCCTTGCAATGGTCGAAAATTTACCCAACACTCAAAGTTGGCTGCACCACACGAATGGAAACACCGCATGTAAACGGACCAGTTTGTCAGTTTGTGGGCAAAGGATCATGAGGACTTCGCTCGGCCAATGGCTGGGCACTAAGCTGAGCTGGTGCTGGAACATTTTGTAGGCTGAGATCTTGTGTGCGGTCCAACTGTTCTAGCACTAGGACTTACATCTTCATCATGCCATGGTACTATACCACACTGTTTGGCTCTTGAAACCAATTGTCTGGCCCAGACAGTCAAATCTCCATATCGGCCACGGCTAGCGAAGGTCAATCTTTCATGCAGTTCTTAATCTTTTGTGATACTTTTCTGATGTAATGTCTGTTATCATGTCTACAGTTTTAGATGTTGCCCATCACAGTACTTAAGGTGACCAGGGGGACGATTTGTGGTTGCTTACAAACAGGAAACCTTTTCGGAGCTGTCCCAATAGTTGCCTTCAAATTGAGCGCGCCTATTATTTATTTGTTTGGTACCTGTAGACACGGGTGGATCAACAGTCGGGAGCGAAACATAAACCTTGTGTTCTTTACCACTCTTTGGATATCGGCAGAATTTTCCTTTCCCCCAAGAATCACAAGCCAAGATGCTGAACATCCAACGTCCTCAATGTAGGGAGTCAGATTGAGGACAATGACGCACTTATCCACAAAGCTGGTGCCTGTGAGATTCAGCATGGATGAAAGCAGGGTGGTCCACCGGGCCACACCCTTTTGGGCACTTGAAGTTTCCACCGAAGGCCGGACACGCTCACTCTGTCGAAGGTCATCTTCTGTAGACAAACTTTCTGGCAGTAAGATGTCTTTGGAAAGAGGGAGCACGGCCTGGTTGTCAGTGAGTGGCCGTCCACAAATTGCAAGCTCGGAGCATGTCAACCAAGCATTGGTGTCAGTAGCATCGATGTTGCCGACCAGACGCCCGTTGCTAAAGCGCCTGCAAGATTTCCGATGAAAAAAACATGGGAGTTTTCATGCGAAAACCATTGAAAAGAGGCTTTTTTTAATGATTGCAGCACATATGAAATTTTAAGGGGGGTTCTCTCAGGGTAACTGTGAAACCTTGAGATTCAAACTGCTTTCTGATAGTGTCAGATCTCCAAGTCTTTGACCTATTTCTTTTGGCTCCAAGTACACCTGCGGTTGCTCTGCTGTTCAGCAGATGGGTGAAGCGAAAATGGCATCATCCACCTCGAGTCAAGATGTTGCCGCAAACTCCACAACGCCTCCTCTACCTCCCTCTCTTCATCGCTGATTCCTCTCTTCGATGAACGCTTCGCATGCTCGCTCATCTCCAAAAGACATGCATGCCGATCCGGCGCCAGATCGTTGATGAATTGGATGCATTGGCTGATTTCCTGGATCTTCTCCGATGACTTCGCTCCCGGCACATTGAGGTCAACGACCCCGAGGATGAAGACGTCGGTCTCTGCACGCCCGGAGCTCTGAGCCTGATAAAGATAACAAAACCAATGAAGAAAACATCTCTCTTCGAGTCATCCACACCTCTACACACTACGTGACATAGTTTCTGACATTCACCTGGCAATATCTGTGGTATGTAAATATCATATGTATATATATATATACATATCAGATATTTGTTCATATATTTATAGCCGAAGAGATATAAGCAATGTTTTCGGTAAATACTCTGACAGTCTATCTAACATCCTCTTTTTTATTTTAATTTCTTTCTGACATTTATTCCGACATTTCTTTTAACATTCTATTTGGCATCTGGCCTGACATTCTTTCTGGCATTTGCTTTGACTTTCTATCTGGCATCCATTCTGACATTCTTTTTGGCATTATATCTTGCATCTATTCTAACTTTCTTTCTGGCATCTATCCTGACATTCTATTTGGCGCTTGCGGTTGAGGTCCGGCACAGCCCACTGAAATGTGGAAGCAGCTGAAGTCCGGCAGTGCCCACTAAAATCCGGAGCTCGCAGCTGATGTCCGGCAGTGCCCACTGAGATGTGGAGCTTGCAGTTGAGGTCAGGCAGGGCCCACTGGGGTGCGGTCCCCAGTGAGATTAGGAGCTTGCAGTTGAGGTTCAGCAGTGCCCACTTAGGTCTGGAGCTACAAGAGACAAAAGGAAGGAAGGAAGGAAGGACGGACGGAGGGAAGGAAGCAAGCGAGCAAGCAAGCAAGCAAGCAAGGAAGGAAGGAAGTAAGGAGACAAGCAACTCTGATAAGATCTAGAAACCCTCACCCGGCAATTTGTCAAAATATTGAAAATATGGTCAGAGCGCCCGCAGGAGCGCTGTACTGTTTGTGATTTTCAAAATGCATTTCTTCACATCTTTTCCACAAAATTGTAGAAAACGCATGATTTTGGACACTTATCATCAAAAATTGTTGACATGCACATGTGCAAAAACGTGGAACCGCGCGCTCAAAAATGAGTGCTTTCATCAGAATTCATTGTGTTTTCCCATGTATTTGCAGACCCCGTCGGAAATCGCTTGAATTTCATTTTTTTCCCTACTTTCCATGCCGTTTGTCTTTGCAGAGCTTACCCAGGCTCTTGAAAACGTGGCCCTCATTGAAGCGACGCCACAGTCCACGCCATAGGTATTTCCACAATGCGATTTCTTTGATTTTCCCTTTGGATGGCAGGTTATATGTTACGCCAGCGTACATGACGTTATCACACCCACCCCACCCCACCCCAACCCCACCCCACTTCCAGACGTGTTAGCAACGTAGCCAGCGTGGCAGTACATGTGTCCCGCAGGTGTACATGAACGTAGCACAGCGTAGCAGGTCATATAATACGCCAGCATACATGACGTTATCACACCCACCACCACCCCACCCCACCCCAACCCCACACCCAGGGTCAGCGGTGATGAGAGGAATGTTGAAAAAACGAGGAAAGCGTTGCGCTCCTCGAGGCGCTCACACCGAAAAGATGGGCGGGGCATGATGAGGTGAAGTATGGTCATGATGATGAGAAAGAGGATGATGATGGTTCTGATGATGAAAACGATGGTGAATGAAACCAAAATGGCATAGGATCATGCCCCAGATATTTCCGAGTTTTTCAGACAAGTAGTAGTAGAATGGTAAACAGGTCTTTAAAGAAATGTTCTGACTTCCGGCCAAGACAAAGTAACGACAAAGCTTCTGAACTCGTTGACTTTCTGCTGTGCCAGCTCCACCTTCGAAACCAGCTCTGTCCGCAGAAACTTCTCCATGTAGCTCTTCACCAATTTCTCCCCTTGCTTGGCTTGGACCAAACGCCAAGACATTTGCTTCCGATGGCGAAGGGCCTGAATCTTCTCAGGCGCTGATCCAATCTGACGAAGCAGGGCCTGGTCACGCTCCAAAGCGTTCTGGAACCACTGCCACCTGGCATCTCTCACCTTGAGGCGTTCTGCTTCAGCTTCCAAGGTTGCTCCTTCCTCTGCCGCTCGAACTTGTTCCAAGGCTTGCTTCTGAAAGCTGGAAAGCATTGAGATGCTAAAGCAAGAAGGTCTTTGGTCCAGGATCTCTCTCAACTCAAAATCTTTGCTTTTTCCAACCTGAAAGTCCTGAAAGGTTCCCAACCTGGTAGAGCAGAATGAAGCAATCTGTGCCCACAAGCACATCAAATTCCTGGTGTCCATCAACTCATCCTCTGTCATGCGGTAGCGCTTTTTGTCCATTGGATTCTCCAGAATCGCGGTGGCTTGTTCAAACCCAACTCTGATCCGGTGGAAAAGCAAACTTTGTGCCGCACTGCTCATAGGCAAAGTCCAGTCTATGGGAATTGTGGCCTCGCTGACGACAGGGATCAAGCCGCAGTTCTGGACTGGGTGCAAGTCTACCACTGATTCCAAGAAGAGAAAGCTCATCACACTCAGTCCTTCACCCCAAGGGCCGAAGGCAAATGGAGCATCCTTCAAGCTGATCATCACTTCGTGGATAGCACCCTCGCAAGTTCGCTCGAGCCAATGTTTGATGGCGTACTGCTTTTTGGTGTCCAGCATGAGTGACCCTGTGCCAGACTTGTCCTGAGAAGGTGCAAACGCGCAGCCAAAATGACGCTCCAAAATCAACACTCTTGTCCAAAACTCTTGGGTGGAAGTTTCCAAAGATAAGGCTTGGAAGGTTCTCTTCGAAACTCAAGGTTGGAGGTTTCGCGAATGAGGCATGGAAATTTCTCTTCAAAACTCAGGGTTGCAAGTATCCCTACATGAGGCTTGCAAGCTTTCAAAAACTCAGGGATGGAAGTTTCCAAACATGGGATCTGGAAGTTTCTCTACAGCACTCAGGTTGGGAAATTTGCTGCATGACTCCGGATTGCCAGTTTGAACGGCAAGCAAAACAAGTGGGAACTAACGTCCAGTCAGAACACAAGACTTCTTTTTTGGAGTTGCTTGATTTGTTCAAGCAAAATGTGTTTCAAACGCTTCTTCTGCCAAAACGACCTTGAAATTGAATTTCCGATGTTTTCATCTTTTTGGCCCTTCGGGTCCTTTGACCCACCACTGCCTCCATGGGAGACCACTTCGGGGTTCCCATTGTAGATCTCGATGGCCTCCTGCACCGTGATTTTTTCACCTTCCTTTGCCATTTTGCCAAGAATTTGGGACCACTCGAACGAACTTACGGCCATCTTCTTGGCCTCGACGTTCTGACGGATGATGCGACCAATCATCGCATGAGCTGGGTCTTGGCCGGGCCTCCTGTAGTAGGTTGGAATCGAAAGGAGAGACATTGCCAGCTCCTTCACCCCTCCATGACAAACCACAGAGTCATCCAAATTGCTCACGAAGTAGACCAATCCACACCAACAGAGGGCTGCCGCCAATCCCTTCATGCCCCCGTCGTCGAACCGAAACTCTTGGACATGAGGCTCCAGGTTGGCTCCATCATCCATTGGCTGATCACCGTCGGAAAGTCGCAGGCCAAAGCTCTCACCCTGTCAGCAATGAGTCAGACGCGGTTTCTGGAATCAAGATGTTCTAGTTTTGGCAGGGGTTGGCCCCAAAAAGTGGTGAGTACATTACAATGGCGGTCCAACCTTATTGTGGTGGTAGTGGAAATCCATTGGTGGAGCGAGACTTTGTTAATCATATTTCTACTTGGCATTCAGAAGGCTGATGAATTTACCCAAAGTAGTTGACCAGTCTTATCCAGGTTGGTCCTTCAAAGAACATTACAAGATAACAACATTCACTCCCATTGGAACCACAAGAAAAATAACCAACCGTATCGTGCTAACCAGCTTCATCTTCATAGGTAATTATAACCATTCTGCAGCCTAACCCCATGATTCACCCCAAGGCCAGTGTAGATCTATGGTATGCATCCTCAAATTTGCATCCGAAGGTATTGTTTCCACTAAAAAGGGTATGCCTGAAATGATTGCCTTCAATGGATGGAAGTTTGACAGAATTTGTGGCTTCACCACCTAGAGTCTGGAGGCGGCGAGCTCTTCTCAGAAGAGCTCTCCACCCTGGCCCCCGGCATTAGGCGAGACGTTAAGAGAGTTCAAGCTCGAAACCCATTATAGTTTGATGGCGCACTTCCTCGGAGAGGTTTTTGCTTTCCACTTTGAGGTTGGAAGTTGGACCCCCTGGGCGGCGTCTTCCCAGAAGAGCTCTCCACCCCCTGGCTCGTGTAGATGTTTGGGATTCATCTTTTTTTTCGTACAAGGTCTTGCTGTTTAGTTTAAAGGGTATATGCCTGAAATGTTTTTCCCTTCACATGGTGGCAAGTTTTCACTGCTTTGGGGCTTAGCCACCTAGAGTCTGGAGGCGGCGAGCTCTTCCCAGAAGAGCTCTCCACCCAGGCCCCCGGTATGGAGATCCCAAAGTGGCGAGCTTTTTGCTAAACATGGTGAGTGGAGCTTAACCAGCAGTATGTCTAAAGAGAATGTTGAAAATTTCAAGGCGGCGAGCTATCCCGATTCCATGGGCGGCGAGCTACCCCGCTTCTGAGGGCGGCGAGCTAACCCGATTCCGGGGGCGGCGAGCTATCTCGATTCCATGGGCGGCGAGCTGTCCAGATTCTATGGGTGGCGATCTGTAAAGTGACTCAAAAAGTTTAAAGTTGGTATGATGTCCATATGTCCCACTGGGAAAGATAATTTGCAAATTTCCAAAACAAGTGTAAGAGAAGTAGAGCTTCCAATATCAGAATCACATTCCTTGGGACTTGTGGCTATACGACTTTGAACCACTACACCACCCCCATTCATTGGTGACCAGTGGCATCCTTCCATCCAGCAACTGCGATCGATTTGCTGATGTCATACACCGTGGCCATGTCTGGGGTTCTCCAAAAGGAGTCTGCGTCAAATGACCACTGCAGGATGCTGGTCGCAAAAAAAGATCCCGGCAAAGGCGGAAACACCTCCGGGCCAGGACCAAGCATCGGAACTGTAGTGTGGTGTAAACTTTACTTATGTCATGAACTGTGTGGATCAAAATGAGGTTCGTGCCGGTGGGCCCAATATATGGTCAGATCACATTCCTTTTGGTGATCTAAATGCACCCATGTTGACTAGGTTTGATCCATACTGCGCCCATGTCTTTTAATCACAGGGTAACCTTCATCTTGCAAAACTTCTCGAGAAACGCATCTGTTTCAGTTGCACTGTCCATGAGGCCAATCTTCTTGAGAAAAGCGGCGCTATCATCCATGAAAGCATCATATTCCCAGCACTTCTGGACAATTTCGAGAAAAGAACCACCATAGTTCACGGGGAACTTCCTCTCTGTTGAGAACCCATGCCGCCCGAGGTAGGCTTCCGCAACCCAATTCTTCAATTGGACCCGGGCTTCACACACATCATCCATAGTTTCCGGGGCTGGCATACTGGTCTTGGCATTGCCACCAGAAGTCCGAGCACGCTTTTTTTGGGGGCATGGCGGCAAATCTCACTAGCACCCAATGAGTCAAAATCCTGCAGTGGGCTACGACTAGCATCTCAACATCCAGAAAGTAAGGGAGGTGCAATGTCATCGATTCAGATGAACCCAAAGATAGTCATGCGAAATCTTTTCTGGAGGGAGGCATTCAAGATGTGAGGATCATGATGGATTGTCTGAAGGTCAACAATGGATTTGGGTCTGAGCATGCGTTTTCCATCGGTTGTCTAGATTGCAAATTTTAGCAACGTTCAGACAGAACGGCCGGGTCACAATGAATTTCGACTTTCGACACCTTCGCTTTCAAGAAGGTGGTCACAAAGCAAATTAATGCTAAAAGCTGGTCTGGAGCGAAATGGCATCCCTCATCAAGAGTTGCTACCTTTCAGGTCGCCAATTTGCGAGCAAACTGCAAATGGCAGCAAGCTGGATCGGAGCACAGAACCTTGAAGCAAATTGGACGGTGCTATGTGCAAGCATTTGATCGCAAACCTTTGCCTGAGACATTCAAGTGGAGTAAGCCCACTGTGATTTGTCCTATAATGTCTTTTGAGACAACTAGCCCCTACATGCTGGGAAGCCTACACCCCTAGGCCCTAGAGAGAGGATAACAAATATAATGACTCGGTCGATGTAGACACGTGAAGAACAAATTGACAAACAGAAAGTAATATCATATATAATTCCTTTGGGGGTCTTACATGAAGTTGAGAAGCGAATTGCCGGCAAACGAGCGCATCAGCTTGTCTGGCACTGTGTGCATCTTGTAGTGCCACCACTCCGTGCGACCAATGCCCTGCAACCTGGCAAGTTCCTGCCAGCATGGCTGTGTTTGGAGATAATGACCCCACAAAAGAACATATGACTAGAACAAATTGCCCATTGGTGTCCCTGGTGTCAAAATTCTCATGGAAAGTTTCAGGCATACCGATCCATGCCCGTATAGATACCAGGAGAATCAAATTACAAACAAGAACGTGTCCAAAGGACAAAAAATAAAACAGTATACCTATTATAGGAAACCGCTGCCTTCAAACGAAATTGTAGTAGTGTGCAGGTGGACCCAGTCCTGCACACCGATTTCTCTGAAGCCACCTGGTCCACACACGATGTATTTCCCTCCGGGGATCACACAAGAGGTTGTCAAAGGATTGCACTTTGGGAAGACGGAGCGGCCAAAATTTTGGTCCTGAGATGACGCGCAGAACCTATAAGAAATTATATTACTTACTTCAAGCGATCCCCATCCTTACTACATCTGACAACATAGTTTCTGTCATATCATCTCGCAGTATTTGTGGGTATAGTATGTTTTTTAGTTATTTTAGTTTTTAGATATCTTGATATGTACACATTATTCTAAATTACATATACACATTATACTATGTAAGATATATAATCCGCCAGGCCCTCAAGGGGGCGCGCGCGCGACGAAACCCGCACCTGGTACTCGATGTCGGAGAACTGGCCCGAGATGTCCACAGTAGCCTCGTTGTTGTTCAGCAGTACCTGGCGTAAGGAGGGGCCGGCGTACAGGGCGACGCCCTTGAACATAAACACTTTCTTCGAGTGGCCCCCCCCCACACACACTATTCCGAATTCCTTCTGGCATATACGCTGACATTCTATCTGGCAGCTATTTTCATATTCTATCTGGCATCTATTCTGACATTCTTTCAGGCATATATTCTGGCATGTTTCTTAGCATCCAACGTGGCATTCCATTTGGCATCTATTCTGACATTCTTTCTTCCATTTCTACCTGTCATTGATTTTGACCGTCTTCCTGGCATCCAGCGTGACATTTCAGCTGGCGCTCGGTGTTGAAGCCCTGCCCGAGATCTGACGGTGCCCACTGAGATCTGGAGCTCCCAGTGGATGTCTGGCAGTGCCCAGCAAGATCTGGGGCTCGCAGTGGAGGTCCAGTAGTGGCCGCTGAGATCTGGAGCCTGAAGGAGGAAGGAGAAGAAGGAGAAAGAATAGGAAAGAGAAGGAAGGAAGGAAGGAAGGAAGAAAGGAGACAAGCAACCCTGATAAAAACTAGGGACCCTCACCAGGCAGGTGGTGAAAAAATAGATCAACGTGTCTTGTGATTTAATGAATCATTGCTACGGGCGGTTGCGTTAAGTCAACGCAGTTCGCGTTAAGTCGACGCACCCGCAAGGCACGACGACATTCGGGTTAAGTCAAAGCACCCGGCGTTAAGTCGACGAAGGGTTAGAAAAACACAATGGGCACGCTACCCGATTCCAGTGTCTGGATATGAACGGAAAATAGCAAAATTCACCGCGCACTGCACGCACACCATCAAAATCACTAGGTTTTGATATGTTTTGAACTATGTTTGCGAAGCAAAACTCAGCGCGCACCTTGCCGCACAGCGAAGAATTTGAATTGGCACTATGTTGGGCTTAAGTCCCATCAGTTGCACGAAAGCCACAACACCCCCATGGAAACGCATGCGCAGAGGAAATCATACTCATTGGCTAAACGTTAGATCAACCATATCAGATCACAATGGCACAGCGCATTCCAAAGAATCTTGAAACTTAAGTGTGAACATAGCACAAAGCAGTGCCGCACCTATGGGAAGTAGATGGAAGTAGTTAATATTTTGTTTGAATTCAATACCCATCTTATGTCACAAGCTCTGGGGGTTGCTCTCCGCGAGTCCCGCGCGACCTCGGGTCTGCGCGACCCGGGCTTGAACCAATCTTCAAGTGAAAGGTATCGCCGAGCCAAAACAAGCGAGATGACAAATTCATTGCGCACAGCGATGGATTTGAACTTATGAAGATAATGGATGTTGAAAAGAATTGTCGACTTAGAACAGACTGAGTCGACTTAACCCCGGTACCCTGTAAGGGGTTTTACTTATCAAAGCATCCATGGGGAAACTCGAACAGAACAACCTAGTTCGAAATAAGTTGAGTATCCACTTGCACTATGCAAAGCTCCTTCATTCCATCGATTCCATGAGATCGCTCTAGATCCTCCAGCGCGACTGCCAAAATGGCAACCTCCCGGTTGGAGCATGAGATGGCAAGCTTGCTCAGTTGGGACACCCTTCGATCCAGGTTCGCCTCGTATCGCCAAAAATGTATGCGCTAAGATGTGCTATTTGTCAAACATCATGGATGGGTTAAAAACCGGTGCCCACATATGAAGTAATGTCATTGCATATCAGTACCAGTGCTGGATTTTTTTGAGGCAAGCTATGCTATGACAATCAACTTTCTTGCTAGGTTTCACCAACTAGTTTGTGTTTTTTGGATCTGAAAAATAGCCATACACCTGGTTGTTAGGCAAGGTCACCTTTCCATAGATCGTGCACTGTTCTTCATAACCCTTCTTCCACTTGGCAGTCACATCGGCAGTTCGGTGACCTTTGGAACCTGAGTCCTTGATGTTCTCTAAGTCAACGATCGAGAACAAAGAAGGGCATCGGCACTGAAACTGGTTCATGTCAGTGGCTAGCCAATCAGAACTGTTACTCATCTCAGCCTCTTGGATGCACAACAGCCATGCACGTCGTCGTTGCTGCGGGACTCCGAAGTCCGCAGCGTTGTAGGACGCGCCTGACACTGCATATCCGAGTTTCTCCAATCGCTTCTTCATCATAGCGTACCTTGTTGCATGCAAAGGTCGGGCAACACGGATCCTTCTACCAAGCCAGACATTAAAAAGAGATTCTTCAATGTTCGTGCTTACATCCTTGAATGATATCTTGACATTCATTCTGACAAATCATTCTGACAAATCATTCTGACAAATCATTCTGACATATATTCATGCAGAGTATCATGACATATGTCCAGACATGGGCCGGCCCAAGAAATTAGGGTAAACAAGAGTCACTTTTTGATCCTGCTGTTCAGTCAGTTTGAGATTTCATCTTTTGACATCTGGCCTATCAAAACATCACAAGCACACAAAAATGAACAAGATATGTAGCTATTATGACGTAGAGTCGGCTTGGCTTTCTAGCATACTTACGCTCTAACATTTTGTCTGACATATATTCTGGAATTCCATATCACTTGGGGATTGCTTAGAGTGAGGTGGCCTTTGTTATCAGTTGAGGTGACATGTTTAGTTAAGGCACCTCATTTTGAGACATACCGAGATACCCGTTTACTTATGCAGGAATGAATTGACCGAAAGAGTTGCTAGCCTGCTGTGTTTTCCTAGGATCTGATGATCCCTATTTTGTGCTTGACAAATGGGCCAATTACAGCCTGGGAACCCTGACTCTCCTCCTTCCACCTTGCGATGATTGAACAAAGTCGAGACATTTTCAAGGCACAACAAACTGGGCCGATGCCTTTTGACATAGGCTTCCACGGCTAAAAAGCCACTGCCGCTGGAGCAACCAGCATCAACGACACTTCCAGGCGTCGTAGTCAGTGGGCTTATACTCACACAAGGAAATCCTGCGATGAGGAAGTCAACCTTAGCAAGCAAAGGAAGCGATTTGGCGCAGGATACCACGGTTCTGTGTGCTGAAGGGGGGAGGAAAAAGATTCATAACTTGTATCACTTTCAGCTGCCTGAAACTAACTGTGGATTTGGCTGTGGATGACTATCCCCCCAGGCAAATTGAAGTCAGATATGGCTTTTTTCAATCGCAAGAAACAGATGGAACCCGCGATGTTGAACCATCAGGAGTAGAAGCGAAGGTATTTCCAAGATCTTTGGCATCAACAAACAGGCCACAAGACGTCTTGAACCTGGACTCTAAATACTCCTGCTTGCGTCGATCATTCTCCGACATGAACATGATCTTGGCCTGGAAAAGGGTAATGCTGGGGAACAAAATGAGGAGAAACATCAATCAGTTCGAAACCAGTCTCTGGTTTGCATCTCTGGGGCTTTGTGATTTCAAACTTCTGACCTGGGAATTTCAAGACTCATTGCTTGTATAGTGATACGCTTCAGAGAATGAAAATTGCCGGACTATACGATGGTACTTGGGTCTTTGCATTTTTTCTCACGATGGGGCAAACTTATAAAGACAAGGATGTAGAAATGCTACCCATGGTGTTCGCTATTGTATTATTCTACTGGAAACCCATGTACGTAGTATCCTTGGTGGGTTGCCCAGCCTGAAATGGGATTTCTGGGAAGAGCTGGTTCCACTGCCGCTCCAGCTCTGAGAGTACCATTTCCAAGACGCCCCAGCCACTGAATAGGCTACCAATGGTGATCATACCTTTGGCAAGAAGAGCCAGGTTCATGCGCCTTCTCATGCCATCAAACTTGTCATTGGTCAGGAATGTCTGCACGAAGCCAAAAACCTGAGCACTACCCAAAAAAGAATCCAAGGGTTGCTGATTGTCCGTAGACCTTGATGAGCCATATTTTCAAAGACTTCGAAACATGTTGAGTCACATTGCATGTATAATCATGTATAAACTGGTAGAGGCTAGAGCCACCACTTGTCTTGCAATAGTGTGCTGATGTTGGCCTACAAGTCTCCCAAAATAGGCAGGAGTGATATGATAAAATCAGCAAAGGTCAACCATTTTGATCAAGAAACATTGGGTTCTTCGTGGGATTCCACCGAGTGAGCTGGAGCACGGTCCAGTTCGGGGTCATCATCGGATGCCAGCAGCACCTCCGATTGAGTAGCGTCTGGTCCTGTCGCACACTGCTGGCATGACTTGCCAAGAGATAGCAATCTTCAGTCCAGTCAAGGACCTCTGCGATTGTTGTTCTGTGATTTTTCCACCGGGCACCATTCCATGACAATTGAAGGAACAGACGTTGACCGCCCAAACAAAAACCATCCAAATTCTTCATGCGTTTGCAGCTTGCGCATTGTCTGCAACATGGCTACAAGTGTTTCAAAGAATCTGGGTTCACAGTGTGCTATACTATGTGTCAAAATAGAATGCTCAAGATAGTTTCAACCCTGTCCTGCCTCCATTCTCGGTATCAGTGCTGAAAAGCACGGACTCCTTGTCTTCTTCACTTTTCTTCTCATCCGTCCTGGCAGTGGATGGCATTCGCTTGCAGGAAACCCCTTAGGTGTTGGAAAGCAAAATGCTGGTGATTTGGAGTATTGAGTATTGTTGCCGCTGTAGCAGGCGATACAATATTTGGTTCATGTCAAATTCAGAACAAATTTTCCACAAAATAGCAAATAAAGTTGAGCTCATGGAGAATGCGGGGGTCCCCGCACATGTTGAAATTCTTACCATACGATTCGATTGGTGGAAGTAGATTAAAAGGATGTACCGCGCTTTTTCACAGGCTGAAAGCCGCTACACTGCCAATCCGCCCAAATCCACAGCAGCGTCATCAGAGGAAGAATCATCACTTTGGGCACCTTCGTCAAAAGTTTCCAGGGTCAAGTCATGATGGGCAACTCTGTGAGGGATTCTCCATGCGCCAGGCTGGTGAACTTGCGGTGGACCCTTGTAGGAGTAACTGAAAATTGAATAAGCATGTGGCTTCGGAATTTTCCCCAGCGTTCCAGAACTCCACTGCAAAAGGTAACTTGCAGACTCAGCGGATAGTTCACCTTTCCGTTGCAGAGGAGGAACTCTTTTCTGCAAATTGTTTTTCACTTTTTCAGTGATGGAGCGTCTGGGGGCAAGTCCAGCAGGTAGATGAAACCCTTCACGAATCTCTTGTGCTTTGGAGGCTGGCACCAGCGCAATCGCTCTCGAAATTTCTGTATCAGCCAGCCAACGCTTGGTGACTAAGAAGATGTCCTCTGGATGGGGCTGAAAAAAATGATGGAACTCCTCCAATTCAGCAACGTTGTCTAGGACATCCGCTCCTAGATCTTGTCTCATGCAGAAACGAAAGTAGTGAACTCTGCGAAGACCTTTGAAACGTAGGCCAGTTTGACTCACAAAGTTTTTCCATGCCGAGACCTCATCAACTTTGAAAGATTCCACAACAGAAGCCCTCAAGCGACTCTTGCCATCATGAGCAGATGAGCTGTCCATTGTGGCTTCCGCAATGAGGGCCACCATCTCGGCTGCAGAGCCACACCTCTTTCCCATAAGGAGTCGTGAAATTTGTCCGAAGCACTGATCAATGTCTTCGTGACTGTGTGCACTTCGAAGAAAAGCCATGGAGGTGGCTCTGAAGCACTGTAGAATTGTGAGTAAAAGCATGAAGTTCATGACAAAACGGTTTTTTCCTTCTCGTGCACAATTATCTTGTTGGAGGTGGAATGACAGTGGAAGTGAATTGGTCTGGTCCACCAAACTGCTCAATGCCAATGTGATGAGCTCGATCATGGTTTCACTATTTTTTTCACATCTTCATCTGTAACACACAGTCCCAGCTTCCACCCGTGGATCCAGGTCCCAACAAGATGCAACGCCGGTCTGTACACTTTCTCCATGGCCTTGCTGATGCGATAGTACCCAAACCGTGGCACTCTCAGTTTCGCTTGGTCCATGCCATCCTGTATAAGAACTAGGGGGCTAGATTTCAAATCAGTTTGGCAGTGTCTTCTAGCAAAGTGCAACTGTTGGGAAAAGAACTGACGGGACAATGCTCGCATTGCCCAATACTGCTGTCTGTCCAACCACTGGGACAGCAAGTGCTTGGAATAGTTCTGGGTCGCTGCATCCTTCTCCGCCTTTGTCTTCGCCTTTTTAATTTTGGAACGCAGTCTGTAGCAAACATCGCATTGAGCATGTTCTGCTATATCTCGAAATCTGAGATGGGTCTTGAACACAGCTTTGAATACCCGAAGAAAGGTGGAGAAGGCAGCTGCAGCTTGTCCAATCGATTCTGCATACTGCTGATATTGGAGAAACAAATCGATCGGCCGGGTCCATTCGAGATACCTCCTGGGTCCTTCAAAACTTCCAGGTCCAGAAGCAGTCGCCTTATCATAGATGCTCTGTGTAATCCCTATCTACTAATAATGAACCATGGTTTCTGGGAAGACTTTAAGGGGGGAAATAAATGAACTCACAAATCTATTGGTAGTAGACAGTTCGCAGGGCTCAGGTCAAAATTCTTCTCGATAGAACTCATGAAGGCTCTGGTGTACCGTTCCTCGAAATCTGGATCTTTCTCCATGAAGCTTTCGGTGTATTTGCCGTCAGATGGCATGACAAACTTTGTTGGCATGATTTCAGCCACGCTGATGTAGAGCATCCAGAAAAAACTCAGAATGTTTGGCCACTTGGTGTGGGCTGAGCTGCGTCCGAGTGATACGCCCAAAGTAGGGTGCTTGGGCTCTGTCAACCTGCCATCATGCATGTTGAATGCCTTCCTTCCAGCTCGAAGATTTTGCATTGCGCCCGATCCAATCCCATAAAGCCTCTGGTGCGCACGTGCGCAAACGCTTTTTTCCAAAAATTTAAGCTGGACAGACTGACGGGCCCGCTTCTTGTATCTGCGTTTCTTCGCAGGAGGCTCCTGAGCCCCCTCTTCCGAATCACTTTGTAAAAGCAGTGCCTCGTGATCACTCTGGTCTAAATCCGAAGCTGTGCAAAGAGGGTTGTCATCATCAGAATCTGTTTGCAACAAAACAGCGTCAGAATCATCACTTTCCAGCAAAGTTTCGGCAGATGGGGCAGCTGCCCCGGCCTCGAAATCATCATCGTCTATTAGGTTGTACCACTTTCGGATCAAAGCTTCCTTATGCGTTTTGCGGCGGACTGAACAACAATAAAAGATGTCGGGTAAGTTAGCTATTTCCTTGCATCTTGAAACGAACCTGTCATATACCAATTTGCTTGCCAAACCACCAACAACAAAGTCAATCACAATCGGAAATCTTTTAAATTTAAGATGTTGGAGAGGCGTTGAACAAAAAAAACTTCTGGGAAGCAAAGGTTCTTTCACCCGTGCGTTCAAGGACTGAAACCGAGCTCTTTCAGAAGAAACTGCGTGAGGAATAAGTTGAAATTGGGTGAAACATTTACCTTCGGAGCATATGCACTTTCTCTCTAAGAGATCCAAGCACTTCAGATGCTTTGGCATGAACAAAATGACTTCAGCCGAAAACTGCAGCCAAGTATCATGCATGGCTCATGGCCAAGCATGATTTCGATAGCAAGGGGGATATACCGCAATGGTGGGATTGTGTTTTCGATTTGGAAACAATCTTGTATGCTTATGAAAGCATCCAGACACAATATCCAAGCTGTGAAATATGCGTGAAACCACAACTTTTACTTGTTCTGTCGGCGTGAACCTTTTCCTAACCCCAAACCTCAGCAGTACCATTGGCAACAATAATAGATGAAGAAAACAGTAGTCCATGAAAAATAGAGTCGCCCATGACAGCCTTTGAACATTGTCATTCCAAGTTATCACAGGCGGCGGTGGCTTGGCTAATGAAAGAATCGTGGCCCATGTTATGCTCAAAGTCCTGAAACTTATCAAACCCCTTTGCCCTTCTTGGCCCTGCCCTGGCACAATCAGTCCTTGCTGCTGGTCTTTTTTTGGGAAGTGCAGCGGCTGGCTTCTTCGTTGCAGGGCGCTTCAATGTCGGCATGTGGCAAGCCCTGGACCCTGGAATCCTAGAACTTCAAGCCCTTGATCCCAACTCGAAAGCCACATAGTTCAGTACCCAGAGGCCAAAACACTATCCTGTGAAAACACAAAATTTTGCGATAATTCCATTTATATATATATAAATATAATTATATATTTATATTGAATATCCCGAGTTTAGTAGGTCACATGCCCATTGCTGTTGACCAAAAGTACTGTTCCTAGAATCGGGTTGAGCGAAAATTGACCAGAAACCACCTTATTGTTATGGGAAAACATGGAAAACCAACAGAGTTTCCCATAAATTGGTGAAATGTCCTCTTGGTGCCTCAAAAAGGTCCGAAGATCGCAGTTCGCCGCAGGCTCTTCGAGCCTTTTGGCGAGTTGAGCGCAGTGATTTTGAACTGTGACGAAGAGACCAAGAAGCACCGCGGTGTTGGTTTCGTGGTGACACTTGGCGAGCCGTTGACATGTGCCAACTTCACGGGACAGGAGATGAAGCTCTAAGTTCGAGAGCTAATGATAGGTTATGAGTTATGACGGTTATGATAGGTGGGTTAGATCTAATCTAGGAGGTTTCTGTTTGTTTACTTCACTCGGCTCAATAGGATGGATTTATTCTGGATATATATATATTATACTATGTATAACATATGTTATATACATGTACTTATACTGTCTATGTATATGTGCATATATAAACGTATATAGCACAATAACATAATATATATATATATATATTACATAATATATATATATATAACATTATATATATATATATTTAACATATATATATATATTTATTTATATGGGGTAACATAAACCAACTTTCAACTGGGATGCACCTTTCGAAGAGGTTACCCCCTTGGCAAGGCAGCCACGATGTCACCGTGAACGGCACTCGCCACGATGTCAGCCTTAAAGGGTGTCCAGTCTTATCAAAAACAACAACATCAATCATCCAAACCAACACCCCAGTTGTTTTTTATTAGATACATATCATATATATCTATATATATGTGCGTATATGTATATATAATTATATATATATAGACAGTTGCCATCCAATCCAAGTTCATGATTCACTGTCATTCCCTCCACCATCCTCGCGGCACTACAGTTCAGCCAAGTTGCGGTTCATGGTATCTCGAACTAGAAAAACAAATCATGGATGTGATTGTTATGGATACCCCAAAATGGATGGTTTATAATGGAAAGTCCTACTTAAATTGATGATTTGGATATTACGGATATATTACGGATTGGTTTTCCAATTTTATAAACTATATGTAAACATGTTTTTCCCAACTTCAGAAATGTCCCTGGCAGCACCAGCATATTTGTGTTGAGCATATCTTGTGGCCCAGGATTTCGAGCAATGAAGAGGCGCAAAAGGCCATTGAGACATTGAAGCTACGGCAGGAAGCAACATGTTTTGATAGGAGAAATGACCCATGAATTCTATGGAAAATAGACACTGGTTGGTGGTTTGGAACATGCTGAACATAATTTCCATAATATATGGGATAATCCTTCCCATTGACTAATATTTTTCAAGATGGTTAAAACCACCAACCAGATTAAAATGGATTAAAATGGCAGGAATTGTTTGAAGCTACTATACCTTCAAGCTAGTCCAGGAATTTCGCAGTAGAATGTGGGCCATGTCCATTGATAGATCACTTCCCTGCTTAAGAAAAGGTAAAAAACTCCACTGGAAATGGATGGTGAAATACATGGGAAAATGAATCATAGAACTATAAATGGTGGATTTTTCTTGGTTATGTTTTGATCACCTGAGATTGCCATCAGTTTGTGTGGGTCAAGTGATGCTACTTATCATATATATATATAATGTAGATGGAGCAATCTGAATGTTTCTGTACTGAACAGTTTGAAAAGGTCAACCTTGAAGATACAAAACTAAATCGGCAGCAAAAATGCCTTAGTTCACGCCGACATGTCTGGGATTTCAGCTACAAAACATATCAAAACACGAGCTCAAATATGGGATGGTTTCTATTGGAATCATTTTTGGACATGTTGAAACATTGTGGTTTTGTGGGTAGCAATTTTGTCGGTGTGACGTCAGCGACATTTTTCATTTCAGCCATCCTGACTCCTGACTTCACCAGATTCGACGTCAGAACTGCACAGTTTCTTAGTCAGTGCAAGGTGCGAGGAATGCCTATGGTAACTACATAATAAGGTCAGAAATAACCCAGATAGGTAGTATCCATTCTCGAAAAAGTGTTAGTCAGTTCTCTTTTCCCTGGTGTTCATCCGAAAAAAGTTCCTCTAAATCGTCACGAGCCATGGTTCAAAAATCGCCAGAGTTCTGTGCCCTGCAGCCCCCAGGAACGGACAGGAAGTTGAAGGGAAGCCAATGAACGTGATGCTTTCTGAGAGGAGGAGAAGAAGAGGTTTCTGAGACTGAGAAGATCTGAGAAGTGCAGTTGGTCCAGGGAACTAAATAGATATGTCTAACTATAGTGATAGGGCCCCCATCTTCCAACTCATGGGGTGGAGACGATTCGGTGCAATAAATAGGGCGATATTCGATATTGCCAATCAAGATGAGTTTTGTTTTACCAACCAGCAGTGAGAGTTTTTTTCTTGTATTCATGATGTATAGAAAACATTGCAAGACATATTTATATGGTTTTCCCATAGTCATGGGGGGTACCCCAATAGCTGGATTGTTTATTTCATGAAAAAACACACATTGAAAATCCCTCTATAAATGATTTAGGCTTTAGGGTTACCCCTCTTTTAGGAAACCCCCATATATGTATAATATATATATATATATATATATACCTGCTAAACCTGAAACCTAAGAATTTCTAGAGCAAAACTGAATTATGCGATGTTTGAACCCAAATTTCACTCGTTATTTCAATTTGCACTAAGAATTTCTAGGTTTGGATCATTTTTCATTGTTCCATATATTTAGAAGAATACCCCCATTTGACTTTCATATTTTTGAGAGGGGTAGGTCAACCACCAACCAGTATAGAATATGTATATATATATGATTATATATGAAATTAGGGAGTATAAGGATTGGATCAAAATGGAACATCAAGGGGTCAACTGGGTCAACCGAACGATTCCCAGCGACCTTTTTTTTCTTAGCCATGGTTTTTCCACTTGGAGTTTTGGAAGCAGTTTCCACTAGTGAACACCTACGGGATGATCCCATGGAATTTTCCTGGGGCGCCAGCGAAAAATGGCGGTGGTTCCAAAGATATGTTCAGATGTTGAGACTCAGCGTGTCCCAGGCACAAAAAACACATGAATGACACTATCCATTCAGTGAGAAACATCCGTGACTATCCTGAATTTAAACTTGACCCAAGATTGTCTTTGCGGAGATCAGTTTGGGTCAAAACCTACTATACCATAGCTATACCATATGTTTTGGCACAATCCTCATCTATGGCCGAACGATGATTGTAATATGTAAGTTATCCAGAATAGTTATCCAGAATATGTATATTAGTACATGTGTATGTATTGTATGTATATAATATATCATATATCCTATGATTAAATTGTGTATGATTTTGAATATATGCCATTACTGGAAGCCAAACGATCCGCATTAAAATGGACGGTCTTACACAGCCAAAGTTGCAATCATCTTAGTTTGATGTCTATCATGAAGAAGTGACAACTTTATGGGTTGTTCACCCACCAGTTGAGTTTGGGCGATGTTTCAAAAGGGTCCAGAAGAAATGATCCATATGATGTACAGAATCTGAAGAGGGGAACTCCATGGCTGCCAATATCACACAGATTCTGAACATAATCTAAGAATCTGAAATGTCTAAATGATGAATAAGTACCTCTGTATATACATATATATATATATATATACTTATATACACATATAATGGACATACATATGGCACCCAAACAAGAAACACGGCCATGTCGCAATGTCGCCGTTCACGTTCGCTTCTCCGTTCAAGGTGAACGCTCCGATATAAATGGAAAGGGTGGCCGCTGGGCATGGGTTAAAATGGATCCCCAGTCGTCACCATAGGTTTTATGATGTTTAATATACTGAAATGGCGATCCATGACTGGGATGATTTCCGAATAGCCTCATATACCCTCAAACGGACAGCTCCGTTTGAAGTTTGGATTATCATTCGTTTAGTTGGAGTTTACTCTTTATCTTTGGGGGGGGTGCTATATTCTGATCCCTGACCAGTGGATCTGGACTCAGGAAAAGCTGGCAAAGGTGATGGGAAAGGAAAAGGTAGAGGAAAAGGAGGCCAAATTGGATGAATTGGGCTGGCAGATCACCTCTTTCCATGTGGTGCAATATATATATATATGATGACGATGATGATGATGATGATGCTGATGATGATGATGATGGTGATGGTGATGGTGATGATGATGATGATGATGATGATGAGATATGTATACACGCGCACATGTAGCCGAATATAGCAGAATATCTCCGTATCTCTCCGATCCAATGTACCCCCCGGAATAGCAGCATGAAACCCCAAGGATTGGATTTGATTTACAGTACCTGGAAAAATTGTGGTTTTCCAGGTCACCAACTGTTAAATTACCAGAGGCTAACCCATTCCATCAGTTTTCATCACTGGAACTTTCATGCTATTTCGTTTTGTTGCCACGTGGATCCACTTTTTTTTGCGCCATGGTATCAGTCACAGCAGATCTCGTGAGGCAAGGGACCAAAGGGAGGCCAACAAGTCATGCCGGTGCCTGGAATATTTCCTGGTGGGGTCGGAATGACACTTGGCTGTCTTGGTCACCGTGGTGGTATCCTACATGGTGGTTCTACTATCACTGGGCCCCCCTTTAAGTATTTAAGTGATCTGATGTTAGTGGTGTTTGGTAGGGGTATTATAGACTATTATATATATATATATAAATATCATAGACCATACTGGGGGATGAATGATACTTAATTAGTGTTACCTAAACAAAGTTTATTGTAATAATACCAACCCTGTAAATACTATAGTTATAAATATCATAAACCATACAGTAGTCGTTATTAGAGTTATGTTCACCAACCTAGCTATCGTTTGGGGGGGCCACTTTGTATAGACGACCTCACCATCACATCCGAAGTTGCGCATAGGTACTGGGTTGGTGAAATAGGTGTTATCATGTGGACTATAATGGGAAATATTTGGCTAGTTGGTGGTTTCAAACATGAATTTTATTTTCCATTTCATATATGGGATGTCATCCTTCCCATTGACGAAGTCATATTTTTCAGAGGGTAGGTCAACCACCAACCAGTTGGAATTCCCTTTTTGGTCCATAGAAATAGATGGTTTACCGTTCTTACAAATGGGTGGAATTTTCTATGGCAAACTGTTAATCATAACCAGAGGGTATTCCCAGTGCCATTAAAATTCCCATTTGATCCTATTAAACCACCAGAATATCCCATTAAACCACCATTTTTCAATATGGTTATTGCACCACCAAGCAGATATTATTTTTTGGGGTGTCCTGAGATGGCAGGATCAATTCCCTGAGATTTAGGTACCTGAAACCATTTTTTGCTTTACCTTTTTTTGTAGACCAATAACTTGGAAGAAACCCCGAAGGCTTGGAGTGGATTATGTTGCAGAGATAGTTGTATTCATAGTTTGGGAATATAATGGAATATATATATATAATTATATTATTATTATTATATTATTCTATATAAGATAGGTATATAATTGGGAAGATATAGAGGCATCCAGCAAGAATGGCAGATCCCGGATATGTCCAATAGAAACGGCTAAGAACGAAGTAGAGAATGGTCAACCGTGTTTTCAATTAAGGCAATAAGGGATGAGACGCAAGTGGCAAGACAACCAATGCGGTATTTCTCAGCCCAATGATAAACCATCCCTGAACTGTTTGTTGATGGCATTGGGTGAATCCCACATTACATGTAAAACAGGGCGTCTCGCAATTTTGAAACCAACGTTGATTCGGAGTGGTTGCGGGTTGCGATTCGGCGGTTCTGGGGACAGAGGAAAACCCAGCGGGTCCGATCTCGTTTGGAACCGTTCGCATCATACGTTGTGGGTGCAGTTGAGGTTGCTTTTCTGGGTATAGTCATGGTTCTTAAGCCCATAAGTTGGGATATAACCCCTATAGCCCTTAGCTATAGTTAAACATCCACTTGTAACTGGAACAGCACTTCCAAAAAGAGTGCTTTAGGATGCTTTGGGGCGTTTTGGCTTCCCAAAGAATTATGTTTTTCACAGGGGGCATTGAACGGGAGTCTGTTCGAAACATTCGCTGAGAAGCGTCAAGAACAGGCTTGTCACTTTCCACAGAGTAACGCCCAGGGAGTTTCTGGGGTGTACCCCAACTTGAAATGTGCCCGTGTCTCACCAAAAATCCTGTTGGTTGATTTACATCTTGGGTTTCCAAGATTTCCAAGACTAACTAACCAAATTTTAAACTGACTAACCCAAACGGTTCAAGAGCCTTATCGTGATAAATCTGTTACTTATGGGATATTTATATGGTTGATCGACAATCGTCCAATGTCCTTTTTTAATACTATATTACATAATATATATATATAATATATATATATGTATTTATTTATATATATATACACTCAAAAAAAACTGGTTGTGTATTGGATCTGTCCATTCTGGGGCCGGGGTCCAAAAATCTGGGGGATGTTTGAATTTTACAAGGTGATCGCACCCAGTTTATATATTTTGGTTGCTTCTTGCTACCATTAGCTGTTGTATCCCACATGCTCCATGGTGCTGGAATATACACCAACAAAACTGGGTAATTTTTAGGGCAAATGTTGGTAAATATTCCAGCACCATGGATAAGGTGCGCCAACTAGCCAACATCGCGAACGAATTGAGGTACCAAAATCCCGTGAAATTTCATGCTTGTTTTTTAAGGGTGAAACCATCTGGTTGGTGGTTTGGAACATGAATTTTATTTTTCTATGTATTGGGAATAATGATCCCAACTGACTCATATTTTTCAGAGGGGTGGCTCAACCACCAACCAGCCATCAGGTTTTTGGTGAAATAGCCATGGTGGCAGCACCACCAGGACCTCCCAAGCATCGGACTCTGAGGATGCCGCCGAACATGCGACCGATGATGCCCATGCGTCCGCCGATGGCCGCGGGATTTCCGGGGTGCCCTGGCAACAAGGTCGTAGACAGGGATTTTTTGTGGCCCAAACGATAGTTCAGTTGGTGAACAAGACTCCAATAATTATGTTTTATGATATTTATAAGTGTAAAGCAACTTATAATAATGGGCCCGACATTGGAGTTAAATGGCAGTCATAACTTTAGTGATTTATGGCATTATAAACCAACCATTTTCGCTGGGGGTGCCCACTTTGTACCCTCCAGTTTTTATGTGGAAAATCCACCATGAATGTAGATCGTAGATCATGTCCAAACGGAAAACCATGCTTTTCAATATTTATGACTGGAAGGTGTTACAGATATAATATATAAATATTACAGATATGATTGGTTTAGAAATGGGCTAAACTGGGATGTACTGTGGACATATATGACATATCCATAGTTTGATTGTGTTATGAATCAACTCGTAGCCCTCTTAGGGTCCTTTTTGTCCACATCATGGAAATGCAAGAGCTTAATTGTGGTGACTTCAAGCCCAAGATTTAAGGCGTTCATGATCTTTAATATAATATGTTTTCCTCTTGAAAAAAGGCCCCAAGATTTCATGGTGAATCAGCAGTTTCCCTAAAATGACCCCTGCTTGGATGGTGAATCAGCATGTTTTTAGAGGTTTTAAACTCCTAAGATGGGTACCACCCAACTGTCCGAACTTGTGATCTTCCCAGTATATCCCTATGAAATTCCTCCCCATGGTTGGTCAGTGCCCTACAAAATCATCAGTTTCCCATATGTTCATATAGTTCAGCAAATTGAGTTCGTGAAAACTCACCACAAATAGGGGATTTTCTGCAGATACCTCGGCCGTATTTTTCTTGGCCGATCTATGAGATCATCATTTCCCCAGTGTTACACATCCTGGTCCTATCACATGTTGGTTCATTGTAATATCCCAGTGGTATCCCCATCGAAAAAACCTCATCATGGACACCTAAATATACCTAAATCTCATATGATATATGCGTTGTTTTACATACAATATTATCCACATGGATTCGAATACCTAGTATTTGGCAGTATTTGGGGTATCAGTTGCCGGGTGAATTGTCCCTTGGCAGGACGTATCTGAATCCATAGGCTACGTTTTCTTTATTCCATTTATAAACGCCTGTTTGGGAGGTATCTATCTATATAATTATGTATGTATATATATATTTATGTATATACAAATCATATCAATATGCATATATATATATGATTATATAAATGTTGCTCATATGTACAGGATGTTAATTATCGGGGGTTCTTAAAATGTGGGATCCCAAAAACCACGGGTTTCAATACTATTTTATGGTTTATTGACTTGGATGATAAAATGGGTACCCCCATTTTAGGACACTTCGATATTTGATTGTATATAATTGCATACACATACTTGATGGATCAACCCACTTAGTAAGTGGGTTAGTTTTCCCCAGTGAAATAAGTGGATTAACTCTACTTATCCTATTTAATCTACATAATACATATATATATACACACATATTATTATATATGTATACATACTCCATGTATATACATATATATATGTATTCCATATGTATATATGTATACATATATATATATATATATATTCATATACAGTATATATATATACATATATACACATATATTCCATATGTATATATGTATACATATATATATATTCCATATGTATATATATATATACATATATATATACACATATATATATTATTATATATATACATACATCCCATTCTAAAGCCAGTCATATCCCGTTTTGAGAGCTGCACCCAAGGATGCCAGCGATGCCCATGGCTATGCCGGCGATGCCAGTCGGACCACGAGGGATGCCTTTGTTACCCCAGGCCGTGTGGCTTGGAAACACGGTCATAAAGACCTAAAGGTATGAAATATGTTGGACATATATGTATATATGTATATGTATATACATGTATGACAAACAAATAGTAAATTAACTTAATAGAAACTTTTTTTAGTTGTTCGGATATGTCACATGCAAATGCATATATATATATATACATATGTGTGTATATAAAAATATATTTACAGAACCATGTAGATACTTAACCCTCCAAGCACCTCGAAGAAGGGATTACCAACATCCATGATGACTCGGGACATTCTCTTAAAGAGTGCTATTTATTTTAGGAGTTATTTTTTTGGTACGGTTTAGGTATTCTTTTGGATTCCTGCTTTTCTGCTGTTCCTGCGTCTCTGCTTTTCTGCTTCGTTTTTTTGGCTTTTTGCTTTTCCTGCCCTTCCTGCTTCTCTGCTTTTCCTGCTTCTCTGCTTTTCTTGCTTCTCTTTTTTCTGCTTCTCTTCTTTCCCGCGTTTTGCTTTTCCTGCTTTTCTGCTTTTCTGCTTTTCTTCTTCTGTGCCTTTCTACTTCTACTTTTTCTTTTTCCGCAGTCATGCGTTGTTGTTGCTCTACTTCTTCTTGCTCCTCTGCTTCTCTGCTTCTCTGCGTCCTTTCTTTACTGTCTCTTTGCTTTTCTTTTTCTTGTGCTTTATTCTCTCCTGTTTGTATCCTCAATGAAAACCCTAGAGAAACCCAAGATGAAACCGAAAGACAGCCTGACAAAAATCCCAATAAGAAACCCTATATAAATGCACTAAATGAAACCCTACAGATACCCAAAATGACTCCCTAACTAAACCTTAAATGGAACCCTCAATCACACTCGAAAGGACCCTTAAAGAAACCCATTAAATGAAACCCTAAAAAAACCCTAAATGAAACCCTAAAGAAACTCTAAAGACGCCCTAGGCCCTAAATGACACCCCAAAATGAAACCCTAAATAAACCCCTAAATGAAACCCTAAAAAAAACGAAATGAAACCCTAAAGATACCCCAAAGAGACCCTGAATGACACCCTAAAGATCCCTAAAGAAACCGACATGACCGTTTGAACTACCACCACGTAGCAAATACCATGCGAGATGAGAGGTTGCAGTTGAAGTGCCAAAAAAGCAAATACCGTGCAGAATGGAAGGTAAACATGCCAAAATGTAGCAGATACCATGCACAATTACAGATCAAAAAATACAAACCTTATCATTAAAATAATCCTAAAACTATTCTTTACCCTATCTTAACTCTATAAGATACCTTTGAGAAATTGTAAAAAGTACTAAAGTACATTGAAGACATTCGAAGACTATGAAAGCATGTTTTGGCAGGTATTGATCTACATAGACCATCATCCAAGCACCTCGAAAAATGTGCTAACAAAAACCCCTTGCGACTGGGACCGCAATTTTCATGGGTGCTTAGAAGGTCTAAGTATTTTTTCATATGTTTTCAGGTATGTCAATAGGTTGTTTAATGTATCTGAATATGGTGTTTTTCTTAGCAGATCAAACAATATATATATATTCACGTGTCCTCAATTTTGGAGACATGTTGGACACAATTTCGGTAACTAGAAAAAATCCGGATGCTTGGCTGTATATATCATATATTACTATATGTACTACCTATACGCAAATACTTAACGAAACCTTGATTATATATGTGAAAAAATAATGGGCGGATGGATCACTAGAGCTGGAGCTACTAAGAGGTGGATATGAATCTCAAATGATTGGACATGTGGATATTTGAAAAATATGTGGATATGTCCTTCAGATATAATTCTTCCAATATGTCATAATAATTGGATATTAAGGTGCAAAACCCAACAATGAACATGCGTTTTCTTCGATTTGTTCTAATCTAATGCAACCCATTTTAGGCAAGGCATTAGCCAATTACGGCCCCTGATATTACCCAATTGTGCATATAATTTATATCCATTGGAATGATGATATAATCAATCAACAACTCACACATAGCCAATTTTTTGTCAAACATTGGCTTCCCACAGTAAAACTGGCGTGTGTTTCTTGACCATTTGACCACCTCTCCTTGCACTCCTGACGCGAAAAACCGCAGGGCCTGCCATTTCCAGCAGCTAGACCAATGATGCCGAATCCAATGATGCGGCCCTTGAACTCGCAAGCCCTTGACGCTTGGATCGCTTGGTGTTGTGCTGGTGATGCGATTGTAACGCGTTTTTTTTGTGCGAAAAGAATTCTCAGTTGTGGCCATTTTGTATAGTGTTCTTGTTTAAAAAAAAGCTTTTTTTTGTGATTTCTCTCCAGTAGATTACATGGCAATGGAGAATCACATGAGTTCGATGAGTGTCCCATACTTTCCGATGAAGAGTTTGGATTTTCCCACAGCCATGTTCAATTGCAAGAGGGTACCCATACTTTGATTCCAAGTAAATGTCCGCAATTCGCATATGTTTTTGCAATATGCTGCCCAAGATTATTAGCTAAATTTGTTTACAAGAATATATGTTTACAATTGGATTTATGCTAGATATATGTAAATAAATTTAAAAACATGCTGAATTGCTATTAAGTTTAAAAGCAATTCAGCACGATTTTGCTCATTTGCAGGCATTTTGCCTCAAAGAGCCCAGGGTTGAACAAGACCTTGACGGTCGAAACCGGTTCTCGTGATAGCGGCTCTGTGGTGAAATAGTCCTTTTCCCGTCTGCAGTTTGACAAGCTTGACAATCTTGTTCATTGAAGTGTTGTACCATTCAATTAGATTGTCGCTATGCTACATGAACTTGCAGATACCCATGTTCCTGGACCTCCAGGCCTGACCAGACGTACTGAGTTCCGATCAGAAGCTGAGATGAGATCACGGTCCAACACTCGTCAGGACCATTCCGTTCCACCTCATGCAGCAGCTAGTCAGCCTTTGTTGTCTGCTCAGCCCAATGCTTTTTCCACGCAGACTTATCAGCAGATGATGGCAAGACAAATAGCACTGCTGGAAGAGCAAATTGCAATGCTGCGTCAGAACATGATTGACACAAGGTGTAGCCAACAGTTCTAACCCCTGGTCGCCCAAATTGGGAAAGTTAACGCATGCCACGCAAATATCGTACTCCACATACCAGAGCGGGAACGCACTCCACAAGTTTAACACGCTCCACAAATTGAACGCACTCCGCAACAGTTAACGCATACCATGCAAACATCGTACTCCTAACACCCCACATATAGTGGCTCTAGGCTATCTACAGAGAAAACGCATACCTGAACTTCATCGCCTATCATGGCAGTGCCTGGACAATACCCTTAAACTTGAAATGGGCATGCTCAATCCGCATACCTGTGTGGGAACGCACTCCACGAAGTTAACGCATACCGTGCAAACATCGTACTCCACATAGTAAGTCCAGGTTACCTACAGGGGTAACGCATACCGATGCTTCATCGCATACCATACGATGCACGAATATCACCATTATACAGCCTTTAGGGTGCTTCAGCCATTTTGGCTTGGAGTATGGCCAGCCTTGGAGTATGGGTAAGATTCTGGTAGAACAGTCTTTCCAGAGCCCTGAGAAGGCTTTAGAAAGTTTGGATCCAACATTGCGTGAGGTGATGCCACGTTGGAAAGCAAGCTTCAAAAAAGATTTGAGCCATCTTGCTACACAAACGGAGCTGCGAGAAAAGTATCAGAAGATTATTGACGACAATGCCATCATGAAGCAGTTCCAGCAAGAAGCACAACGCCAATGGCAATGGCCAAATGAGTATCTATCTGTTGCTACTCCTGTGTTAGGCATAGACCCAGCAGCAGACAGCGACTCCATCTATGACCTCAATGCAGCTTGGGAAGCAATGCGCAAAAGACATGCTTTGGAATGCCAGTCCTTCATCATTGAGCATCAGAAGCGTGCTCTTCAGTTCTTTGGACAGAAAGTTGACTCTGGCAGGGTTCGCCAGCATGTGAGCGATCTGTACGAAGACTGGAAAGGGAAGTACGGCAACTTTCTCACAGCAGAAGCTTCATTGCACACCCAGAATGTTTGCAAGTCGTTCATGGAGCTAGTGATTCGTCATGAAATTCCTAGAATGAAGAGTCGTTTGTCCGAGGCAGCTGAGGCAAGGAAACAGCAAGCATCCGCCCTCTTGGATGCTGAAACAAGATTTCAGTCCATGGACCCGCACATGCTGATTGCACTGATTGAGCTTGACAAGCACGTGGTGCAAGTTAGCAAAGCCGACGGTGTCAAAGCTAAACGTGTTGAATTGCAGAAATCCAGTCAGTTAGCTGCTTTAGTTCGCAAGTTTCCTGACTTGAACAAACACTTTGAGATCAAGTTCACAGATGAACTCGCCCGGAAGTCCACTACTACAAGGAGACGCCAAGCAACACCGCACCCAAAAGGTCGCGGGCACGCAAGATCCGCGTCGAAGAGATCTGCAGGACACTCACGTGGACAATCCAAATCGCCCCATCGTTCCACGTCCCGACCGTCTGCTTCATCGCGTTCTTCCAGGGCATCTTCAGGTCGCTCATGCAGGGGATCTTCCAAAAGCCAAACGCAGTGGAAGGGCAAAGGCAAAGGGAAGGCCAAGGGACATCCTCGCTCCAAAGGCAAGGGACGTGGAAACATGTCTCGTGACCGAGGTGATGTCCCAAAGAGCATCTTGAAGAAGACAGTGAGCTTCAAGGGCAGCCGGCATTCTTGACAGTTGCCCCCTTCCATCCACTCCAGCCGTCCATCAAGGAGACGGTGCAAGAGCTACTGGAACTCAGATTTGCAGTCGATCAATTTTGCCAAGTATTGCGTCAGTAGATCTTTTTGTATCACAATGAGTTCTCTTTCAATGAGAACCGTCAGACAGAGCGTGCACTCTCGCATGCCTCCTGAATTCGTGTTGCCCGATTTTGTTAAGTTGTACCTCAACAAAGGCAGCACGTACATTTTGGACAGACACCAATGCAGCCTTGCAGAAGTCATGCGCAGCCTTGACAAGATGGAAGTCAAGATGCACACTGCCAAGTTTTTTGAGTCAAAGCCTTCACTTGCCCAACAGCAAGTGACCAAGCAGCACACCCGCTCAGAATGGAAGCCTCCTCAAGATGAACAGGTGGCCAGGCTCAACCGTTTGCTTCGTCAGTCTGTCTTGGATGAGTTTGTTGCAAGACCAATTAAGCGCAACTACACTTGGCTGGATTGCAAAGCAAGGCAATGGCTGAAGTTGCATAGAAACAACCTGGTCATTGTTGATGCCGACAAAGGCCTTGGCCTTGGAGATTGTATCATACCACGAGAATGGGTGGACACAGAACTCAACCGTCTCTTGAGCAGTGGTTTTGCAAGACTTGCGCCAGATGTTTACAAAGCTAGAAGCTTTGAAGCCCGGTGCTTGCTGGAGTGTGTCACAAGAGAAGCTGCGTACACTGGTGTGGTTTCAGACAAAACGGTGCAGTTCATACTACATCAGATTTTCAAAGCTGGAGAAGGTTCTTTCAGGTTGAGAGTTAAACTGCACAAGCAACCGATGACAGGTAGACCTATAGCAAACCTTTCTTACAGTTGGTTGGCTCCTGCTTGTCTCTTTTTGTGCGAAGTCCTTGCGCCTATCCAGAACAATCTCCTGCATGTGGCTTCCAGCAGCTTTGAGTTTTTACAGAAGATGTCCAAACATGTCCAAACATGTACCATCTCACTTTGAGATTGCCACAGTTGACATCAAAAATCTGTACCCTAGCATCAACACCGACCATTTGCTAGAAGTATTGAGCAATGATGTCCTCCGCTTTTATTGCGGCAGCAGAAAGGCTGTCTACACCGTTAGCTTGTTGCAAGTGGTGTTGCGGAATCAGTTCATTGTGCACCGTGGTGAAGCCTATCAAGCGTTCGGCATTGCTACTGGGATTCCTCCTGGTGTGTTTTTGGCGAATATTTATGTCAGCCATGTTGATACCCTGGTCATGGAAAACCATGCTTCGCAAATTGCTTTTTACGCTAGGCTGGTTGATGATTCAGTGGTCTGTGTTTCAGACATTGATTCTATCCAACGGACTCAAACTCATGGAGGCCTGAATTAGTTTGGGAAGTGGCTAGTCGTGGTGGGCGTCGGCATGAAGCAGAACAATCTGTTGCGTTTTTGGACGTCCAGCTTTTTCATTGCAGTGGGATGATGCAGTGGGAAGCATACAGAAAGCCATTGAACAATTACCTTTACGTTCCCCAGGCAAGCTGTCACCCAAAGTCCATTGCAGCGAGCATCATACGTGGCGAGACTCATCGAATGTGGAGAATCAACAAGTCCAAAAGTGACCTGATGAAGCATTTGAGGTTCTTTGCTAGTAAGTTTTCAATGAGAGGTTACTCACTCACGGACACTTGGAAGATCATTTGCGATACTCTTGTAAAACTGCACGGAGGCAGTAAACCAAAAGTAAAGAAAAGACAGTTCTTTACTGTCCTTAGGTACAGCAGCTCAGTTCCAAAACGTACCCTGAAACAATGTTTCGACAAACATGCCGACTCATTGAGGATGATTTTTTCAGATGACGTTGTTATCAACTTGGCATTTTCTGTACAGAAAAATCTTTTCAGACTGCATTACCATGACAATTGGAAGTAGCTCCTGCGCACAGACAGGGTGGTGGGAGGGGTCTGCGTTTTTAAATTTAAAAACAATTCAGCACGATTTTGCTCATTTGCAGGCATTTTGCCTCAAAGAGCCCAGGGTTGAACAAGACCTTGACGGTCGAAACTGGTTCTCGTGATAGCAGCTCTGTGGTGAAATAGTCTTTTTCCCGTCTGCAGTTTGACAAGCTTGACAATCTTGTTTATTGAAGTGAAGAGGAGTTTTGGTTTTTCCCACAGCCATGTTCAATTGCAAGAGGGTACCCATACTTTGATTCCAAGTAACTGTCCGCTATTCGCATATGTTTTTGCAATATGCGGCCCAAGATTATTAGCTAAATTGGTTTACAAGAATATATGTTTACAATTGGATTTATGCTAGATATATGTAGATATAGATAGTCAATATTAGATAATTAATCATACCTGGTTGGTGGTTTCAAACATTTTTTTCCATTTCATATACGGGATGTCATCCTTCCCATTGATTTTCAACTCATATGTTTCAGGATGGTTATTGCACCACCAACCAGATACATAGATCTGGGTAAATTATAACGACCTCACTACGACCTCACTGGAATCATGGTTAGTAAGGGGAATCATCCCCAAATGGCCTTAATTCAGATTAGTGAATTATTCTAATTTACCCAGATAGATAGTTAATAAGAAGCTCGGGCCCAAACATCCTTCCAGCAGGTGAGCTTATTCCGACAAAACGTTGGGCGATTTGTAGCCATGGAAGCTTGCACATGTGATTTGGAACCTGAGTTTACCCATCAACATGAGGGGAAGACCATCAATGTGGTGCTTACAACAGTTGTTTATCAACCGGGCCATCATCTCTGTAAGACTCTACTGCGGGAACAACAGGGTTTGACAGATTGCATCCTTCAAAGAGGACATCCACGTCATACTGTTTTGCAAGGGGTTTTGCAAAGAAGGAACGGACAGTGGTGGATCACCATGTCACATGACACCAGGACTTTTTGCCGCCCTGACCCAGAGATGTCAGGGTTGTATCGGGTTGTTGATGCATGCTCAGGCATAGGTGCAGTAGCCACTGGTTTTGAACAAACCGGAGCCGAGATCATTTGCCATGTGGAAGGCAATGAGCAGTTTTGCCAATGGAAGAGCAGCCGATCATCCGTCCCATGCATCCGAGGTGATGTCAACCATGTACAGACCATCCATGCAGTAGCCAAGCATACTCAGTGGTCTCACACGTTGTCAGCAGGCATATCATGTCAACCATTTTCCAAATTAGGGGACGAAAGACAGGAGAAAGATCCCCGAAGTGCTTCACTACCAGGAACACTATTGATGGGGTATTTTTTGGGAAGTATGCAATCATTTTGGAATGTACCCAAGAAGCGGGCAAGTCAGATTGGGTCCAAAACCAATTACAAGCTTTTGCAAGTCAGATTGGGTTCACAATGCAACAGACTGTACTCATGTTACATGAAACATGGCCAGCTCGTCGAACCAGATGGTGGGCAATCTTAGCCCATGCAGCGTTGTGCATCCGTCCCATCCCAAGAATGCCGGTTTTGCGGTTTGAACCAACCATCATCCATGTCCTGAAAGCACTGCTGAGTTTTCCTGAAAGCCAGCTCCAGCAGCTTGCACTGTCAAAGTATGAACTACGTCAGTTTTACTCAGCCAAGGGAGGGTTCAAAATCCTCGATATGTACAAAGCCATGCCCACAGCGACGCACTCTTGGGGTTCACAAGTAGTTGCATGTTTGTGCGGATGCAGGTCACAAGGTTTCAGCCAAGAACGTTTGGACACAAGGGGTTTGTATGCAGTTCTGATCCCACTTGACTATGTAGAAAAATGGGGTACACCAGAACTTCAGGCCATGCGTCATCCACACCCCCAGGAAGTTGCATTTCTTAATGGACTCGACCCTGCCCATGTTGAACCATCAGCCCAGGTGCCAGTGCGTTTGGAACTTGCAGGAGTAGGCCAACTTGCATCACCCCTTCAGGGAGCCTGGGTTCTTGCAAATGTCATCGCCCAAGTAGGACAGAACAGCCTGCATCCGACCGACCTGTGTCCGCGTCATGTCCTTGCCCAGATCTGCAGAAAGTTGCTGGTAGCCAGGGATCAAAGGTGGAATGTGCATGCATACACCAAACCCATGAAGCTGTTCCATCAAGAGATTGAAAGTTTGGATAGGCCCTGGATTTTCCAACTGCCGGATGACATCCAAGCCGATCCAGCTGAGCCACCTTCCGTAGACAGCCATGGAGATGCGCAGAATTCCACCGGTGATGCATCCGAGCCAGACAGTGTACAGCCGTTAGTCGCCAAAGGTGACTTCCAGCATCCGACCAACAATGCACAACCAAGTGACGCACCAGTCACACCAGTAGCCAAGCCTCTTCCACGGCCAGGGTGTGGAGGCTTGGATGCTGGTGCGGTGCAAGAAAACCAGACGGACCAATCCAAAATTGGTCCCAGAGTATCCCAGTCATGCATGGACACAACACGAGAGGGTCACAGTGATGGTTTGCCTCAACACGCCACAGTCAGCTGCTTTGAGATTACCGAAGTAAGTGATGGCATGATGAACCCCCCCACCCGTGCAAAGTCCCTTCCACGCTTAGGGTGTGGGGACCCCTCCCAACCAGGTGAGAAAAGCCCAAAGATATCTGATCAAAACAAGTTAAAGCAGGGAATCGAAACAGCACCAACCGAGCATTTTGCCGAACCCGTCAACAGCGTAACTGCCTCAGTCAAGAAGCAAACAATCAGCAGCACAGCAGCACAGCAGCATCCTAGCAAACCTGCAGTTCACCAAGCACCGGGAACCACAGGTAGCAGCCACGAAGCCTATCTGGACAAGTCCCTTCCACGCTTAGGGTGTGGGGACCACTCCCAGCTTGAATCAAGACAGGAGACACAGCATGGACACATGTTGGGACACCAAGCAGCAAAGCATCCGAGCAAAGCTGCCGCACCAATAGTAGATCAAGACCAGTCACAAGTGTCCCCGACGAACAGAGCAAGACAGCATGATAATAGCACTCGTGCCATTTTGACAGGAACAGGCAGCTTGCAGTTCCCCCACCCCACCCGTGCAATGTCCCTTCCACGCTTAGGGTGTGGGGACCCCTCCCAAAAGTGTCAAGATGGAACCAAACGCAGTGATGACCACAATGGGGATCATGGAAGTGTCCTTGAAGAAGCAGTGTGTGAACAAGATCCGTATCCAGACCCAGCAGCATTGGCAGATCAGCAAGACTCTCCGTCATCAGGACACGCCGAAGCTGCAGTAGTTCATGCACTTTTTCTCCCCAGCCGGAGGACGACACAGATGCAGGATCTCAGAAAGACCACCCACGACCACAGCAGGTCACCACCGTTGAAGATTTTTATGATGATCCGGAATTCGATTCCCAAGTCCTTCAAGCATTGGAAACAGCAGCCGTGCCCACCACAGGGGAACAGTTCCAAGCAGGGGCAGTGCCAGGTTTTGCAGTCAAAAGATCATCTGACTCCCACGACCCAGTAGCCAAAAGAATCAGGAGTCAGCAAGGAAGCGATGCCTACCAGCCCAGGCAATGTGAAAGAAAACCTGGCTCGAGTTAACCATGAGCCCATGCCAGAAGCTACCATCCCGGGCAGTGCCTTAGTTGAACAGATTGGCGAAGCAACATCCAAGACAGCCACAGGATCCAGAGCAGGCAAGTCAGGTACAGCAGCATCTCATCATGAATCTGACACTGATGATAACAGCCCGATCTCCCAGGTGCATGGTAAGCCCCTTCCACGCTTAGGGTGTGGGGGCTTCCCAGTGGTCCTTCATGACACCAATAGTGAAATTGGATGTGCAACCAGATCGAATCCCCCAGCACAACAAAGTGAACATCCGAAATATGACAGTATCATGATCCAGGTTGTCACGCCAGCTGAACTGCCTTTCTCGATCAGCACAGATCCCAATATGACAGTAGCTGACCTCGTCCAAGCCTCAGTGAACTCAGAACAAGCTCACAAGTGTACAGTCAGCACAGCCATGGGAAGATCGGTTGACCAGTCGGATCAACTTCAAAAAGATCAAATGTATGTCTTGGACCTTTGCCAAGTGGTGACACAGTCGGAAAAGGAAGTCAATCCACCGATCCTGCAAGGCATCACAAGAGGCCAAGCACTCTGGCAGCAATTGGGGTGGGTAGCTAGGGATGAGATGGAATACTATCTTTACATGCTCGAATGTTATTCACCAGGCACAACATATGGTATCCTTGACTTACCTGAAAGCATCGACAATCCAGCAGTATTTACTGATTTCATCCTCAAAGCCATCCGGGAAGCAGGAACTGACCAAGACACCAACGTCAGAACTTGTGCCATTCGACACCGTCACCACTGGTTCCCTGTGGTTGTTGCAGTCAAAGGGCCAGACATTCACATCCATACAGCTCCAATGCAGCAGGAGTTTGTGTCCAGCATGCTTGAAGCAGGATTAGGGAGGCAGGCATTGCACGTCATGACCAAGCCCATGCCCAAGGCATTCCCGGCTGATTGTGGTTTCCAAACGGTTGGGTGGCTTCTATCCGTGCTCCTAGACGAAGACACTAGTGTCCCATTCACAGCCAACCAGGCACTGCAATGGAGAAAACTCTTTCACAAAGATTTGATCAGCACTGGAGCAGTAGATAAAATACTGATGACACCATTGCCACTTGCAGGAATGCAGTCGCAACGAGATCAACTCCAAGCACTGGTGACTGCGCATGGGGTGGCACCAGCCCGGGACAAAGAGTGTGCAGAACAGCTCACCCAAGCGTTAGGAACCCAAGCAATTGGCCAAATTTTGACATCCCCAAGACCATGGGCCGACCTGAAGTCACGTGCAAGCTTGCATCAACCACCAATTCGGGTTGTTTTGGCCGACGAACTCAAAGCCTTGATCCAACGCAAAGCAGGAGAATCCAAAGCAATTGGAAAGAAAGCGAACAAGCTCAAGAACAAGCCAGCTCAGCGAGTGCCATTGCAACTTCGATCTTAACAGCTGACAGTACCCAATGCTGTCTTTCGCCAAGCTGACGGAGAAGAACTTGGTCAGATTGATTCATCCAACATCAAGCCAGGGTGTAAAGGCGTGGCCATAGTCAACATAGCCGAAGTCCTGCCGTACTTTAGCCTGTCAGAACCACTGAGCCCGCATGGAGCAGCGCTGTTGATCCTGGAACACGAGGATGGACGTCTGCCAGCTCAACACAAAGTCCTTAAAGTCCCGGTCCAATGTCGTGACACTCAAGATCCCATGGTCATCAAGGTAGCCATGGTGCAACTTGGCCAACAGGAAGTGAGCAGGAACATGCCAGCCCAGGCCATTGCTGTGCCAGAGGTTCCCAATCAGGTCGTGAGGGTAGTGGTATATCAGGACCAGTTTGCTGGACAGTGGCAAGAATTTGTTAAAAGCCCAGTCAAGTGCCTTTTGCAGATGGATCCGTTCAGGAATGTCCAACAGGCCGACATCATTGATGTATGGGATCGCCAATTCATGTCCACACGGATGTCCAAGACAGCTCCAGAGGAAGCAGCCATGTTCAGTGTCAACTTGCGCATCAATGAGCAAATTTGCGATGAGCTCTTCCAGGCAAATGGAACTCAGGGGATTTACCTAGAGCCTAGATCACCAGATGGACGTAATCCTCATGATCAGTTCAAGGTAGTCTGGCTTCCTGGCAAGAGTTTTGGCGAAGCCCAAGTCAGCCAGAAGACATCTAAGGTACCCACAATGCTTGTCCGCCAAGCAGATCGCTATGGACTCAGGGTGGATTCAACCAAGGCAGAAGAGCTACACAGACTCCATCGCCCAGACCTTGTGTACATCCCCGGTGTAGACCTCGTCAAGTACCGGGTAGGTCCCATGCCTTTTGGATCAACCAAGCAGTCGCTCATCCATGTTTTTTCGAAATGGCAATGGAAAGCACGACCATTGGCGCCCCAAGGCCAAGCCAAAGACAGGTCAGGGGTCATGTGGTTGGTCCAAGCATCCGAGCCACCCAGCCACTGGATTTTCCAGTTGTCGCATGGTGATGTCTTGATTTCGCCAGAGGAAAAAACGCAACAAGGATATGACCCACCATCCACGGTGTTAGCATCATCCAAGACCATCCAAGCCTTGCAAGCAAGCCAACCAAGCATGCCCACTGAGGACCCATGGCTTCATCATGACCCATGGCAAAGCACACGACCAACACGTGAAATTCCTACAGGACAAATAGCCTCATTGGAAACCAGGATTGAGCAAACCGTATTGGCCAAGGTAAAGCAAGCTGATGTGTCCATGACAAATCAGGCAGAAGACCGTGTTTCAGCCCTTGAAGCCAAGGTTGAACAACTTGGCCAAGTCGTCGCAGCCAATCAGCATGAAATGGCCGCCCAACATCAGCAGGTCCAATCGCAGTTGTGTAGCCTCGACCAGAAAGTTGATGCTCAGCAAGGGGTTTTCCAAACAACCCTCGAGGCGAAGTTGGAGCAACAGATGCAACGCATCGAACAGCTGTTCAGCAAACGACAACGAACCAATGAATGACAAATACCGCATCACCCGAGAAAATGTACAGGAGCAACACGCATTTTGCAGCTCATCCTCAGCTTTTTCCTATGCATGTGCCGCATCGGAGAGGCATCCGTACCAGGTCCACCTCAAGGGGAGTGTATCATTGGATGCCTAAATCCGACGGGACTTTTAGACAAAGCTCACTTATTGGCCCAACTTCCCAAGGGTCACCATTCAGTATGGACGGTGCAGCAAAATTTAACAAACAATTAAAGTTCCATGAAACTGGACTGCACGCACAGTTGGGTGCCCCAGTTCCCTTACGCACCCAGACCGTTTCGGCAATAGGGGGTAAGCACCGTGGAGTCGGATTCCTGACCGACACAGCACATAGGGCAATGACAGCAACTTGGCCAGATGAAGCATGGCGACAAAATCGATTCCATGTAGCCTGTTTTCAAATGGGAGAAAGGTGGATCCAAGGTGGCGTAATCTATGGAGTGGCAACTCACCCACAACTTCATGAGTCAAAAGCCCAAACCGATGCTCAATGCCAACATGTGACGGACCGCCTGGTCCACCAGAGCCAGGGACTAAGGTTCATTGGGGGTGATTTTAACCAACCTGACGGAGGACTCCAAAATATGCAACTTTGGGCAGATGCAGGCTGGGTCAATGTCCAAACGTGGGCCCAACAGACGCTAGGCAAGGCAATCCAACCTACATGCAAGCTTAAAAGTACCATAGATCATCTCTATGTTAGCCCACAGCTAGCCTTGTACCTCAAAGATGTGGAAGTCCAGCATGACTGGTTTGCAGACCATTCGGTCCTGATTGCCAAGTTTCATCCGTTGGGAGCACCACCTTTAGTGCCTTTGTGGAAAAAACCAGCCGCTATCCCATGGAAGGAAGTGACAGCCACACAGGTTGAAGCTAATTTTCAAACCCCAACGGATGAGCCAGATCCGACCAAAGCATACGCAGCCCTTATGCACCAAGTAGAAAAAGCAGTTGATCAATCCTTAGCCCAGCAAAATAAAGTAGCCCTTCCAAAAGCAGCCAAGGGCAGAGCATCCACGCTTGAAGTCACATGGGTTCCAGAACATTCAGCACCCTTACGAAAGTCAAGGGAGGGAGAGTTTCAACCAACCTATCATGGGCTTAACCAGCAGCATGGCCAATGGGTTAGGCAATATAGGCGACTAGTTAACTATGCACGTTTAGCCAAGATTGACTCCCCAACCGAAGCTCAGCGAACGCACCGTGACCAGCTTTGGGTAAGCATTACAACAGCCAAACACTTTGCACCGTGCTTCATCGACTGGTTAGCCCACCAGTCCAATGAAAGCATAGCGATCGACCAACACCCTAGCCAGGGAGAAGCCATGCGCATGTGTAATGCTTTCCATAGGGTCTTGACCAACTTCGAGAAGATGCTCAACCAGCAGCGGACACAACAAGCAAAGACCAGGCGTCAGGAAGACCCAGCAGTAATCTTCCAAGACCTCAAATCTGAGCCTCCACAACCGGTTCAGATGTTGATCGAACAAGAAAGAGCAGTAATAGAAGACCTTGATCCCTCTGAAGTAGCCTTTGTCACCAATGGGGATGTAAAATGGGACCCCGAAAAACCACTCCGATGCAATGATCGAACCCTCCAAATCATTGCGGCTGAGGAAAGTAAAGTTTGGGTAGACAGCCTAGAAGGTGTAGAACCAGGAATGTCAGTGCAGCAAGAAAACTACATAGGCCAACTCCCAGACTTATTTGCCCGATTCAAAGATGAATGGCATACCAGGTGGGACCGCCACCTGAACACAGCAGAAGACACATGGGAACCACTTGTGCAGTTTGCAGAGCTTGCCCTTCCCAAGCCGCCTCCAATGGTTTATGCGCCCATCACCATTGAGGACTGGACCAAAGCCTTAAAAAGCAAATCGCGCAAAGCAGCCATAGGACCAGATGGAGTCAGTAGACAAGACCTCCTTAATTTGCCCCCTGCAGCCACATCCAGCTTGATTCAACTTTTTACTGATGCTGAAGCAGGCAAACCATGGCCAAGGCAAATGTTGGTAGGATTGGTAGCTGCTTTAGCCAAAGTACCATCAGCCACCAAAACGTCTCAGTATAGGCCCATCACAATCCTTCCAATGGCTTTTCGAACGTGGAGCTCCATCAGAGCTCGCCAAATACTTCGGCATTTGCAGCCATTTGCACCACCCACTTGTGCCGGTAATGTCCCAGGACGCCAGGCACTTGACATATGGTACCACATCATGATCAAGGTCGAAGTAGCCCAGTATGAGCAAGGGCAACTAACAGGGGGGGTGGTAGACTTGGGAAAAGCGTTCAATATGCTTCCAAGGCTCCCAGTCTTGCAATTTCTCCGACGCCTAGGGGTAGCACAACCAGTGTTGACTGCCTGGGCCCAAGCACTTGTAGGACTTGAACGTAGGTTTACCATCCACCAGTGTGTAGGACCACCATTGCGATCCACAAGTGGCTTTGCAGAGGGGTGCGGACTTTCAGTAGTAGCCATGCTAGGTGCCAATTTGGTAGTCCATCAGTACATGCTGCGTAGGTACCCCCAGGCAATGTTGTGGACATTTGTAGACAACTGGGAGGTCACAGGACCCAATGCAGAAGTAGTCAATGAGGCCATGGAAGGCTTACAGAACATCACGCAAGCACTTGACATGAGGATCGATAGTTCTAAAAGCTATACTTGGTCAGTTGACACCAACCAGCGCAAAGCTCTTCGAGACAGAGACCACCAGGTCAAGCTGGCAGCAAAGGATCTTGGGGGCCATGTCCAGTACTCACAGGTGGTCACCAACAGTACCATCACGTCCAGATGCAAACAGCTAAGCCAGTTGTGGGGTAGATTAGCCAGATCAACAGCACCATATCACCAGAAAGTTCAAGCCTTGCGTGCCAAAGCACGGCCAGCCGGCCTCCATGGCGTTGCGTCAGTACACATGGGGGAGGAACACTACCAGAAACTCCGCACTGGCGCAGTTCAAGGGTTGGGAGAACATAGTGCAGGGACATCGCCTATCACTCATTTAAGCCTCGTAGAATCAGTCAACACCGATCCTCAGTACCAGGCTCTTTTTGTAACAGTAAGCATGTTTCGACTCAGCTATGCCAACCCAGACCTTGCAGCCTACTGCTTGACGGAGCTCCACCTGCCCAAACAGGTGGTGGTACCTAGACCAGGCCCCATATCGGTACTCCTTGCCCGCCTCCACCATATAGCATGGTCATGGCATAATGGAGTCATCTTTTGGGACCAGTGGGGTAATCCCATTGACCTCTGGCATTGCCCCATCCAAGAACTAAAAGCACGCCTCACGGTAGCTTGGCAACAAATGGTGCAAGGCCAAGTCTCAGCGCGCAAGACTTTCGAAGGCCTTCAATGGATGTCACCAATCCTGACCACTCAGGCCCTCAAAAACAAAAACCCAGAAAGCCAAGCCCTGCTTAGAACATGTTTGAATGGAACCTTTTTTACGGCTGACCGTTTGAAGCACCAAGAAAAATATAAAGACCAACCCGATGCAGATAAGTGTAAGTTTTGTGGAGAAGTTGACTCACAGGTTCATCGCCATTGGCAATGTAAGCACTTCGGCAGTTGTAGACAACTGGCCCAGGAACAAATTGACATGATCCTCCAACTACCCGTGTGCGTCGGCGCACACGGGTGGATGCCTGAACCACCCAGCTTGTGCAAGTTTCAAACTTTGTGTATTCATGCCCCGGATGACCATGAAATTTTTTGTTCCCCCATAAACTACAGTCTGTTTTGGATTGTTTCACAGATGGAGGATGCCTGGCACCTACCAGCCAGGTGGCACGCCTAGCCAGTTGGGGTGTTGTCCTGGGCGACCCAGACCAGGATCACTTCCACCCCATTTCCAGTGGAATCGTCAAAGGATGGAGCCAGACAGCGTTGCGGGGGGAGATCACTGCAGCCATCAGTGCGGCGAAGTTCGCTTTGAAGGTCCAGAAACCCCTCCGTCTTTGGTGTGACAATGATACGGTAGTCAAAAATGTGAGAAAATTTCAAACTCGTAAGGTTGTGATCAAGCCAAACCAAACCAATGCAGACCTATGGCAGGAACTGCAACGAATGGTTGACATGATGGGTCATGACTTGCAGGTATGTAAGGTGAATAGTCACCAAGACCATGACACAGCAGCCGATGAAGCAGAACTCTGGTTGTTCAGGGGAAATGACGCTGCAGATCACTTGGCTCAAACTGCAGTGTACAACTATCCAGAAATCTTTGACATGTGGCAACAACTCCAAAGAGACATAGAAGCCATCCATATCATGCGTAATCAGGTACATAACACACTGGAAGCGGTAGCTCGGGAAGCAGTTCGACATGGAGCGCCCAGGGAAACTCAGGATCGACAGCATCCCAGCCGGGTGCACATCAGTGAGCTGGTGGAGGTTGATTTTTCTTTCCTGATAGGCTCAACATTGTCACCAAAGTACAGCTGCACCGAAGGTATCCGACTTGCAGAATGGCTGATTACACTATGCATGCCAGATGAGCCTGTCCAGCCCATATCATGGTTTCAGTTGAATGCGTTGTTTGAGTTCCAGACAGCTTCCAAAGGTGTGAGACACAACAAACAAAAGAAAACTTGGGAAAACAGCCAAGACAAAAAACTTCAGTAAATGGATCCAAGGAGTAGCGCAGGATCACCACAGCCAAATCGAACCCAAACACTTGAGGCCGTCAAGCGAAGTTCTAACGTTTTGGACGATGTGTGTGCCACTACGCTTGAGCAAAACAAACAAAGCCCTATCGGAACAAATTTTACTCCCTTCGGCACCCCGTTTGCCGACGGTCGCATCACTTAGGTGCCTGTAAACATGCAGGCTAGGGATGCCGGGTAATAATACCCCGCCGCTTCCGCTACGCTGAGGCGCTGGGACTTGTGGAAAATTGAGGAAAATTGAGATAGTTAATAAGGCGAAACAACACTTTTTTCGGTACCGATAGGTACCGATCCTTGCGATGATTCTTCAACTCTTGGAGACGACATGTCAGAAACCCGCTGGGCGGAGATGGCGTATGGCAATATCTGATGATTTCACATGGTAATGGTTCAAAACACTCTACATTTAAATAGATCTAGATAACATTAGATTAAAAAACAATACATAAACAACTAAGTAAATGAATACAAATAAGTACATAATATATATATATATAATATATATATATACATATATATATGTATATATATATACATTAATATACACAAATAAATACATCCTTGTATACATAAATACACAAATAAATATTGAAATATACAACTATAGGAACCAATATTATTTAACAGATAACAAAATAAATAAGTAAATGAATAAATCAAATACATAAAAAAAAACAAAACACATGCATAAACATAAGCACTGATACCATACTTGTGGATGCGCATGGATAAATCACAGCTATTTTGGGGTGAACAGGTTGGGGGACGTTGTGGTTCCATTCCATGTTACACATTCCCAAATGATGATTTCAGGATACCCTCTAGTAATCAAGCACAACTTGCTGGAAAGAAAAACAAACAACCATAGTTTACAGATGACTTTCCCATAGCAACAAATTTACAGATAATCAAAACTCCAATCTATTCTGTGTATTTTGTGCAGGTTTTTCAAACCATGTTTCACCGGGGATATCTACAGTTGGATGGTTTTTTTTTCCGAACTTACAACGCTGGCCCCACGGATCTTCTCGCGTCCCGCGTCAACGCGTCCCGCCTAGGAGGGAATGCCACCCACGCAGCAGAAACAGCCACCTGGAGAGGGATAGCGGATAGGTCATGGCCAAAGGTGGGGTAAAGTTACCCAAAAAAACTATAACAATAGTTGTCTATTTCCCATGTACCATATGTACCAACTATAGTTTCCTATGTTCTCCCCACTGGAAACTTGGGAAAGCCATGTCTCTTGAGACAACTATAACGATGGGACAATATGGGAAACTATGGGAAAACGATGTGTTTTTCTTTTTCATAGGAAATCAACGAACAAAAATAAAACCATACAATCATGTGGATAGAATGGGATATATTACCAACACGATGTTATTTTGGGGTGTGTCTGAAATGGGGTATACTCCCCAATGGTTGTTTTTGTTTTAACATATGGAACATGATGAAACCAGTGGATGTTGGGTAGCATTTTTTTAGGTTATCATTTTTGTGAAGGGTTAGTGCTGATACATTCATAGTGGAAAAATATTATATCAAGGCACCGATAGATCGTCCGACAGTCATCATGATCATGATTGTATTGCTGTGTATGGAAATAATGATTGATAGTAATTACCCTTTGGTTTCCTGTGGTAATTGAAAAGAGCTTGGTAATTTAATTAAGTCCCGCGAAAACTCGGGACAGTGACTAGTCATGCTGCTGGGAAAGTGTCAAACTCTACAAAGTGGGTCCCCCACGGATACAAGGTGGTGCTCCCCTAGTTACGTTTCTTTTAAACTAGCTAACTCTGGGGAACCACTTTGTACTGACTGCAACTATATATGTGCAACATTTTACAAGATAAGATATGTTCATCTTGAAAAGTGGGATGATTCGAAGATCATCCAAGATGTGGTTTCTGCAGTCACAGCTCTGAAATGCAATCTGAAGGGGGGCCGAGACGCACCGCTATCGCTCTCTTCCACTGAGGCAGTTGGGAGCACCTTGGATCGGAATTCATCGAGCTTCGCTGGGAAAGTGCAATGTCAATTTTGGCCATTTCCCATCCCCAATAGGAAAAACATATACCCTCAACATGAACAGATCCAATACATTTCCACATTTTCCACATTTTGGGGGAAAAAAACAAGTTCATTTTCTATATTTACATATCATAATATATATATATATATACATACACACTGCTTATATACTGTATATTCATACGAATTTGGGGAAGGACTAACATCCCTGCTGTCAGCTCCAAACTTTCTGACAAAACGCGGGCATCAAATCCACCCGGTTCAGTTTCCCCATGGTTTGATAGCTATAACTTGATCGAAATACACCATTTCTGGCCAAAGATAAGGTTAGATCAGATATATAATCCATATAATGAAGGAAATACACCATATATCACCATATAATGTTTTGATTATGGGTTTATAGAATCATTTCTGGTCAAACCCACATATATATATATATATGTATCCATATGAATCGTATAATGTTTTATGATAATGTATCAACATTTCATATAATGTTTTGATTATGTATCCCCATCATATAAATCATATCCCATTCTCCGCATAGATCGGTATAGCAAGGTTAGTCTTATCCAAGTTTACTGGATTTATTCGTTAAATTCACATGTCCTCAACGGTTTGGAACGTTCCATGTTCACTGCCCCTCACTTGTGGGTGCGGTTGGGGGTTTTGCATGTAATACTTTTCACAGGGTGGGATAGAACCCCTGTGTATATATATAATATAATATACAATACGGTTAGAAAATAATTTATAATACAACATGTTTGTAGAATAACTTAGTTGTATACCACTATGGTTTTACATAATATATATGTATGTATGCATGTAACTAATTGTGTATATAATATATTTATACACGCGTTATATATATAATATACATGTATATAAATATATATATATACATGTATATATATATAATATACATGTATATATATATAACATTATATATACACAACTATGTATCTATATATATATATTTCCACTTAGTTCACTGGAACTGCAATTCCAAGCAGGAGCGCTTGTATGCTCACAACTCCCGATTGCGACCTGATTTGGCTGGCAAACTCACAGGGATGTCACTCGACGATATTCGCGAGTGTCTGTCCCGGATGGTCATCGAATGTGAGTTTTGCCGAGTGTCATAGGTTTTCATCCATACAGTTAAAGCCCTTAACAGTAAACTGGTTTATAACCTCATTTAAGGGATATATATATATGTGTACATAACCTTAGCAGGAGTTATAATCCCATGGCCATATCTGTTGAGGGCCATGTAGATTGTATTCATCCAAAAGGTCAGCTCTGTTTTTGGACGATCTCCCTGCCGTTAAAGTCGAGCCTAAAGTAAGAGGAAACCCCACAGAACCAGCAAAAAGCACCACTTTAGCACAATGTGGGGCCCCACTTGCTTCTCGAAGTTGGCTTATAACTATATAGAATCATTGGGGATGATGGTAGTTACAACTAGTTTGTTGGTTGGGATGAAAGACCAACAAACACAACTGGGAGGGCACACCTACTGTATAGTTGATGAGTGTTTGTAATCATACTGTGGATGGAAGAAATCCTGCACCACCTTGGATGGTTGAAACCCTATAAATAATGGGATGTTTACCACCTATCAACTGGTGATTCTGATTTCTTCCATCCACAGTATTTCGGTATTTTGTCACAAGAAACTACCGACCACCTTGGGATTATCGTCACAATCATTCCCACAGGAACCCCAAAGAAAATCCCATCGCTGTCGTCATGGCACAAGGTGCCCCACGAATCGGATCTGTGGTTTACAATCCGTACATAACCCCTATAATCTCATATATATATATATACGTATATACATATATAAGTGTGGATATTCCATATATATATACACATACGTATATATAATAGGGGTATAACCATATATAACCCATTTACTAGGTGGGATGCACCCCCAAGTAGTCGTATCGTAAAATCCAACCAATCCTTCACTCAGCTCCCTTCACTCGAACGAAGAGCGCTGAGCTCCGCCAGTCGTCCAGGATGCTTGAGCTTCCCAACTCCGAAATTTTGAGCCTCTTGGAATCCGATGAGCAGCTTGGCTGGAAAATCCCAGAAAATGGAAGTTTGTTCACATGTTTTAACGGGAAAATCCTTGAACCCAATGGGGAATTGTCCATTGCCACGTTTGATTACCGGAGGGTACTGTAGTCTATCTAGGTCTATCTTTGAGATTGGGCTCATTTTTGAGTCATTATTATTTTTGTCAGCATTATCATTATCATGAGCATGACTATTATCATTCTTGTTTTGGTCAGCATTATCATTATCATTACTGTATCATTATTTTTGTAGTAGTAGTAGTAGTAGTAGTAGTAGTAGCAGTAGTGGTAGTGGTAGTGGTAGTGGTAGTGGAGTTTCGCGCACTCCAGGCCGGGCTTCAGGCCGGGCCATAGCCCCTTTTTGGACAAACCCATTGGGGGGTGGGTCAAAAGCTATGAACTTACCATACGACTGGGGGAATAGCCATCCAGCACCAGCTACGACCAGTCGGGTACCATCCGGGCACCAGGGTTTTGATCCAGAATCATATACTGTATCATAGATTGTTGAAAATTAATGATAAATAGATGTATATATAATATACCATAATAATATCATAGATTGTTGATATATATATATAATATGATATATAAAATATATTAATATATATAATATAAATAAACAAATAAATAAATATATATATATAATTATGCAAATAAATGTATACATAAATAAATAAACAAATAAATACATACATATATATATATATATGTATAATAAAGAAATTATGTAATATATATATAATATAATATAATATATAAATATAAATATAAATATATATATCATATATCCATACGGTACCATACCATGTGATCCCAATCTATCCGTATCATATCCTCAATTGTGGGGAGTTGTGTCCTCCGTGTCACTTTGTGTTTATCCCATGAACTGCTTGGATAAGTAGCATAAATACAAGTCTTCACCTGTCAATGGGAATTTCAGGATCCTAAAATGGAGGTACTGTACCATATTTTTGGCCATATTTTGTGGGGATATTCCCTGAAATTTAGGCCTAACAAA